TTTACACATACGCTTTTTAGAAAGCACACGTGGTTTTATTGTTTTGTTTTTCTCAGTTATGGCCAAGGTCAAGCATGGAGAGGCTTTTAGGAACTTGGGTAGAGAGAGACCTCAGGCTGCTCCACCTTCTCCATACACAATTGTGTGTTGAAGGGCCTGGGAAAGACCATAGTCCCTGTCTTGGGTGCCACGCTGTCTCTTGAGCGTGAGCACTCAGTTCTGTGTTGTAGTTAGTTTACTGTTTGTTTATTCATTATTTATTTCTGCACTTCGCACAGAAATCTGCTTCCTGGGAATTTCCAGCTGTGCTTGCTGATTTTAGTTTCTTCCTCTGGAATAACTTGTATCTATCTTTCTCTTTTGGGGAAACACTGTTAAGTTGTCTTTCTATGAGCTGTGTGGCTGGCTCTTTCTTGTTGTAGTTTCTGGGCACCCTGTACATCGTAGTAAGTCTTCCAGGATAAACAATGCCAGCATTGTCTCAGAATGAGCACCCAGAATTAAATTCCTGCCAGAGTACTTTCTATATGTAAGCTTTTCTTCCTTTTTAAAAGAATTCTAATAATAGTTTTTAGTTAAAGTCTGGTTTGTATTTAAAAGCCACAGTGTCGTTACCAATATACATTCATGAAGTTGGAGTAAATAAAAAGTAGAAGCCATTCTGATGCTCGGGGAATTCCAGTGTAGTTGTAGCTCTGTGTCCTGTGTCGGGGGGCAGTGTACAGACGGCTGGGTCCCCTGCCAGTGTGCTGGTGAGCGCAGGTCTCTGCTTTTTGACATCTACTTTGCGCATTCTTTTCACATGTATGCCTGGTCTTACAGAACCTTTTCTCATCTTTTTTTTTTTTTTTTTTTTTTTTTTTTTTTTTGACAGATACAGTTAGACAGTGAGAGAGAGACAGAGAGAAAGGTCTTCCTTCCATTGGTTCACTCCGCAAATGGCCACAACGGCCAGTGCTGTGCCGATCCGAAGCCAGGAGCCAGGTGCTTCCTCCCTGTCTCCCATGCAGGTGCAGGGGCCCAAGCACTTGGGCCAAACCCCACTGCCTTCCTGGGCCACAGCAGAGAGCTGGACTGGAAGAGGAGCAACCGGGACTAGAACCGGTGCCCATATGGGATGCCGGCGCTGTAGGCGGAGGATTAACCATGTGAGCCACGGTGCCAGCCCCTTTCTTATCTTTCTAAGATTTTTTTTTTTTTTTACTTGAAAGGCAGAGTTACAGAGAGAAGGAGATACAGAGAGAGAGAGAGAGAGAGAGAGAGAGAGAGAGAGTCTTCTGTCTGCTGGTTCACTCCCCAAATGGCAGCAACAGCTGGAGCTGGCCAGTCCAAAGCCAGGAGCCTGGAGTTTCTTCTGGGGCTACCATGTGGGTGCAGGGGCCCAAGCTCTTGGCCCATCTTCCACTGCTTTCTCAGGCATATTAGCAGGGAGCTAGATGGAAGTGGAGCAGCTAGAACTGGAACTGGTGCTCATATGGGATGGCAGTGTTGCAGGTGGCAGCTCTAACCTGTCACGCCACAACGCTGTCCCCAGGACCATTTCTTAAAGAGTTTTCCTTGTTCATTGGATTGCTTTGTCTCGGTGTCCTTGGTGCCCTGTGCTCTCAGTGTTGGTGGTCCTTTTCGAGCACTGCCCTGAACTCTCTGCTTGCTTCTCTCTTTCAAGAATCTTTAAGCTCACTGACTGTTGTGCACCCCACACTGCTATTAAGCTTGCCCAAACATTTGTTTTTCAGATGTTGTATGTGTCAGTTCTAGGGCCTCTATTTGACTCTTAAGTGTCTTTTTCTATCAAGATTTCTTCTCATCTTTTTTACTGTGTGGTTTTCACTGTGCCCTTGGGCATACTTATTGAAACCACTTTGACATTGCTCTCTGCTGATTCTAGGATATGGGTCCTTTTGGGCTTGTCTTCTCTCTCCTCTCTTCTCTCTTTTTTCTTTTCTCCTCTCTCCTCTCCTCTCTCTCCTCTCTCCCCTCTCTCTCCTCCTCTCCTCTCTCCCCTCTCTCCCTCTCTCCCCTCTCTCTCCCCTCTCTCTCCTCTCTCCTCTCCTCTTCTTTTCTCTTCAAGCAGAGTTACAGACAGAGAAGTCTTCCATCTTCTGATTCACTCCCAAAGTGGCCGCAACAGCCGGAGCTGAGGCAATCTGGAGCCAGGAGTTTCATCTGGGTCCCCCACGCTGGTGTAGGGGCCCAAACACCTGGACCATCTTACACTGCATTCCCAGGCCATCAGCAGAGAGGTGGATTGGAAGAGAGCAGCCAGGACATGAACCGGTGCCTGTACGGGATGCCCTTATGGGATGCCGGCACTGCAGGCGGAGGCTTAAACTACTACACTGGCTATGATGGCCCCTCTTTTTTTTTTTTTCTTTTATAAAAACTTATTACTTTGAAAGGCAGAGCAAGAGAGAGAGAAATCTGCATCCAAATGGCCATAACAGTCAGGGCTGGGCCAGGCTGAAGCCAGAAACATACTCCTCTCACATGAGTGGGCAAGGGCTCAAGTACTTGCATTAGCGGGAAGCTGGATCAGAAGCAGAGTAGCCTGGACTGCAGCTGGCTCTCTGATAGGGGCTGCTGGTGTGGTAAGTGGCAGCTTCACCCGCTGTGCCTCAGCACTGGCCGCATTGCTTGTCTTGAGAGTCTGGCTCATGGGTTCCTGCCTATCTGTATGCTTCAGTTTGAGTTGGGTTTGGGACAGTCACCAATGACGTTAGGAACTTTGAATTCTGTTCTCATAAAGGGGATGATTGCTTTGCTTTCTAACACTTGGTTACCTTGATTGAATTAGAGCTCAAGCTCTTGTCTCTGAAGTCAGGCAGCACCTTGAATTACATTTGGTATTTTTGGCTTTTGGGTCTGTTCATGGTTGTGCAGTGGTTTGGGAGTCAGTCAGAGGTGGAGACTGCAGAATGAACTGGCCGCCTCCCCAGCTGTCACCTCCATCCTGTCACTCACGCTGAGACTGTCACCATGTTTGAGCTGTGGCATGCATGACCTGGAAGCCTTGCCAGGTTCCGTTCCCTTCTTACAAGTGTAGATTCCTTTACCATGTCATCCACCTACCTTTCCTTATTTATTATGTTTAATCTAGAATTTATGGTTTTTTGGAATATGTTTGGTCAATAGGAATGACTTTGCTGTTATTAGATGCAAAACCTTTATCAATTTGTTTTATCTAAAAATAACTTCCTTCTTTTCATTGTAGAACATTTGGGCAGTTTGGATGGGAGAGACACGCATGCACACACACACACACACCACACAGTATTAGCTGTAGTCCTGCCTCAGAGCTCATAGTATTCATTCATTCATTCATTTTTATTTGACAGGTAGAGTTAGACAGTGAGAGAGAAGAGAGAGAAGGTCTTCCTTCTGTTGGTTCACCCCCCAAATGGTCGCTATGGCCAGCGCTGGCACCGCATCCAAAGCCAGGAGCCAGGTGTTTCTTCCTGGTCTCCCATGGGGTGCAGGGGCCCAAGCACTTGGGCCATCCTCCACTGCACTCCCGGGCTACAGCAGAGAGCTGGACTGGAAGAGGAGCAACTGGGACTAGAACCCGGCTCCCATATGGGATGCCAGCGCCGCAGGTGGAGGATTAACCAAGTGAGCCACAGCGTGGGCTCCACTTACAGTATTCGCTGCAGCTGTTGAGACCATGTCTGTCTGCTCCCCCTCCTGTGGGGTCAGCCCTGCATCCCTTTCCCTGAGCTCCTCAGCCTAGTTTGGTGTAAATGTGGTGCCATCCTGTGACAGTTACTCTGTTGTCGTGTCCCCTGAATGACTTTAGGGCCTTTCCCCAGCGAGCGAGCTGTCTGTAGAGGGTTCAGGGGTCATGGTGCTGGGCGATGGCCCTTTGACGGTTCAAGGCGGTTGGGTCAGACAACCCCCTTGCCCTCAGCTGAGGGTAGTCTAGGCGTCTAACGTTTGCTTCCCCAAGTAGGGCTGATACAATTGTACCCTTCAGGAAGCATTTGGCAAACCTGCATCCCTGTCCTTAGCATTTACTGTGGCTGGGGTTACAGCTAAGTCTGCTGACCCAGACCTGGCTAGTTCCTGTCTTCATGGCAGCTTTTTTTTTTTTTCTTTTTTTCTTTTTTTAACAGATTATTTTTTTAGAGCAGGATTGAGAGGAAGGGAGTTCCATGTATGTCCCTGGCCCCGCACTGTACATCTTTGTTTACTACCGACAGCGCCGTGGGAGGGCTCACGTGTTGTGCTCAGTGAGTCGCTGCTGGCAGGTCGTCACGCAGAGCCACAGTTCACACTGTGGACACGTGTGCTGTGGCCGTGATGGCACACACCTGCCGTACGTGTCGCATACAGTGATTTTCTACCCTAGCGCTCTCTCCACCCCCACCCCAATGCCTGCTAGCCACTGGTCGTTTTTGGTTTTGTTTTTTGCTCTCCCTGGAGTTGCCTTTTCCAGATGTGCTACCCTAGGACAGTAGTTGGAATCATGTGACTTGTGACCTTTCTGACTGCTGCTTTGCTTTTATTTCCACATCTTAAGTAATACACACGCATGTTTCAAATAGCTGTAGGTTGCTAACAGTAAAAATAGCACTTTGAAGATCCAAGACTGTTATTCCTGGGGTTTTAATGTCATTTCCAAGTAGGAAAGCAGTTTAACTTTTTTTTATTACTCCATTTTCTGGGTATGCATTCACTCCTGGCAGTGTGACTGGGGAGGTCACTAAGCTGTGGTCTTAACAGTGGACTTAGTTTCCCAGCCTTCTGCTCTTGCTTCTTTGCAAAGCCAGTTAGCATCCACAGGACCCTAGTGTGCATTGATTTGAAATTCCATTTAAGACATTTTCCTTACAGAGGTAAGTTAGAACTTTATCATACACAAACATCCGTTAGATGTGGATATTGGAGGATACTGGGGAGATAACATTCCTCACTAACAAGGTCAGGATTTGGGATAATTATGATGGTTTGGTTTGTGTTCATTCTTGAGGTGCCAGAGCTGACTTGGTCTTGTGTATTTGCTCCTTTTTCAGCAGCAAGCCCTCGCGGGGAGTCTGGCAGGGCCCGGCAGTGCCGCAGAGACAGACCCATTCAAGAGGCAGCAGGGGCTGCCACCCACAGGTGTGTCTCAGACACGAGTGAGTGCGTCCCCGCCAAAGAGCAGCGGTTTCTTTCTACTTTGAATGTGAATTTTCCTTTTGCTGTTTATCAGCTGGACAGAGTATTTATATGAACGTTTATGTGCACTGAAGCGAAACATTTGTCTGTTGAAGAGATACATTCCATCTTTTCCATGTGCGTTTGGAGGTTCTTTAGTCACCATGTTATGATTAAATGTAAATTCATCTTTTTGAAGTTGTCTTTTTAAACTGAAATTTTCCTTTAAGTTATAAACTTAATACATCTTAAGGTAAGATTCATACAGCTTGGAAGAGTATAAATTGACATCTGCCTCTGGTTTGATGCCTGTCAACTCTCAGACCACGAGCAGCTACCACTGTTGATGTTGTGTATTCTCACAGGTGTCCTTCTGTCATGGCACAAGTAGTGTCATGTGTGTTGTTTTGGAAGAATCCAAATGTGAAAATATATATAATGTATGTTTCTTTTAAGATGGTGACACAGGAGGCCATCTTTCCAAATCGTATAACTCATTCTTTATGATGGCTGTATAGTATTCCACCACGTGGTGGATTCATTTTTTTTATCAGTCAGATCATTATTAGTGTTCATTTGTTATTGCCTCATTTTTTTCTACAATCAACAGAGGATTGAACATAGAGTCTCATTTATTTCTTGTTTGTCAGTACCTCTGAGGTGAGAGTGCTCCGTCAGGGTGCGTGTGCAGTCAGGAGTGGTTGATGCTCCATTGCCCTCCAAAGAAAGAGGGCCAGCCAGTTCTCACTGCCATAACAGTTTCTGGATGAGTTGGCCGTTTCATTAGTATGATCAATCTTCTAATCATGGTCGATGTTCCGTTTCAGTGTGATTTTCTTTAATTTTTAGTAAGGTTGGGCAGTGCTTTTTCCCATTTGTTCATCATTTGTGAGTCTGTTCTCTGGCCAGCCTTCCATGCTCTGCCTGTTGTCTGTCTGGTTGCTGTGCTTTTCATGGTGGTTTGTTAGGACCCTCTGACCAGCTCTGTTCTCCATGGGCTGCGTCGACCCTCAGCTGTTGCTTGTCCTTGGCCTTTTTATGATGGCTTTTCTTGCATTGGCGAATTTTTAATGAAAAAAAGTAATATTTATCCACTGTATCCTGTCATACATAGAAAGGCTTCCCTGTTCAAGATTATAAAACACGTACACTTTTTTTTTTTACTACTTTTGTGGTTTATTTTTATATCAAACTGCACCTTTTTTGAAAATTATTCTAGAGCAGTCTAAGCGAACCTCGACTTGAAGTGGGTCACCAAGGGGTAGTTTTCCAGCACCCAGGGGTGAGCGCAGGAGTTCCTCTGCAGCAGTTAATGCCAACAGTCCAAGGTAAGACCTGGCCTGGCGCCAGCTCGCTCAGCTCCCAGAGAGGGAGGGCATGGCCACTGAAACCCAGGTCAACCAGGCTCCGTGGTTGAGAGCCCCAGTGTCGGAGTGGTCTCTGAGGCTGGGTTATTTCTGTGTCCCACGTAACGCCGTATGGAAAGAGCCCTGTGGACACTCTTGTCCCTCCAGTGGGAGCTCCCGTTCTCACTGTCACTGTGCCTTTCAGTGGCTTCTGTCCCTGTTTCTGCCTTGCTGCTGTTGTGGGGGTGCTCTGTGGTAGTTGACGTCTGTTTCGCTTGATGCTGATGACTGCAAAGCTCGAGCGCCTCTCTCCCTCCTGTGTGCTCGCTTGTGCCTTCGGATCTAGCACAACACTCACTGCCCATCGGAGAGTGAGACGGGTCTGTGACTTCCTGGGTGGGAGCTGCTGCGCTCTGAAACTGGTGCCCTGGGGTTTTCTTATTTTGCAGGAGGAATGCCCCCTGCCCCTCAGGCCACGCAGCTCACCGGGCAGAAGCAGAGCCAGCAGCAGTACGACCCTTCCACAGGCCTCCTGTGCAGAACGCCGCCAGCTTGCACACTCCGCCTCCGCAGCTGCCTGCCAGGCTGCCCCCCGCCGGTGTCCCCACTGCAGCCCTCCCGTCTACACTGCAGTATCCGCAGCAGCCACAGGTGGTAGAGGCTCAGACACAGCTTCAAGTCCCGCTGAAGACTCAGCAGCCAAATGTTCCTGTCCCCGCGCCTCTCCCCAGCCAGCTCCCTCTTCCTCCTCCACAGCCCATGCAGCCGGCCCTGCACATCCCGGTGCCTGGGAAGGCCCAGATACAGGCAGCTCAGCTTCCATCCCAGCCACAGGTACACTGGGGACAGACATTGTTTGTAGCTAGAGGTGAAGAGAAGGAAACACAGTTGCAGAGCTGGCTTGCATCTGTGTGTTTGTCCAAGCACATGTTCTCATAGCAGTTTATTTGCCCAGTTCACAATCAGTTCAGTAGCTACTGTGTATTTTTATGTACTCTGTAGTAATAGTTGCCATTATTTAAATAATAGAAAAGGAATGAATGTGGTAGCTGTTAGTAGTTGGAGCCTGCCCTACTGCCCTGCCCACAATGCTGATGGTCCCACTTGATCTGCTCAGGCACTCTCGGGTAGGTGCAGAGGAACTGGCCCGAGCCCTGGCATGAAGTGACGAGCTGGGCATGAGCCATGCCTCTCAACCTTGCCAGCCCTCCCTGTGTTTGCTACAGTCCTGAGTAAGGCCCTGCTACAGGTATCTGAAGGGAGTCTCTTTGTGTTGCTATGTAAACAACAGTTGTCACTGTGCACTAACTTCACACACAGGACCTCTGTCCCCAAAGGGTTCTGTCATGAGACTTACTAGTAAAACTTGCTTTCAGGAATCACTGCCTTACAGTGTACGAGGTGGAGAACATTCTCTTGTCTCCTAAGTTACAGTTAGTCTAAGAGCTGGCAAAGATGTATCATTCTTGGGTTCTTCTTTAAAGGAAAGTTTCTAAAAGGAAAGAAGGGGGAGAGAGGAAGGAAAAAATGGAGATCACCTTCAAGATACAATGACTTTGAACAGCCCTTATCTGGACTGTTGAAGTTTGTTTTTCTTTCTTTCTTTCTTTTTCTTTCTCAGACTAAGTGTTGAACTCTTTACCTAGAATACTTAATCCTCTGTATAAAGCTAAATGAAAACAGATCTTGGTGAAGAACAGGAGAGGGAAGAGGTAGAGGGAGGGGTAGGAGAGCGTGTGGAAGGGCAGGTACAGAGGGAAGAATACTGTGTTCCTGGTGTTGCATTTATGAGATGCACGCAAATAAAATAAACACATGCAGTGAGTCTCTTCTGCACGCATGCAGTGCAGCCGTGGTTTGGGATGCAGTAGCAGGCAGTCCCAGTTCCTAAGGAGAGCTCGGACACAGCCTGCACTTGTTCCAGCAGGAGGGTGCAGGAGCAGTGTCCTTAGTTTCTCAGCGACCCTGGCAGGGTCAGTGCAGCCGCTCCTCTCAGCCTCTCCTCCACTGGCACGGGAACTTACCGGGTGCGCTTAGATTCCAGGCCCCTTAGATTCCAGGCCCCTTAGATTCCAGGCCCCTTAGATTCCAGGCCCCTTTTTCCTTTTTTTTTTTTTTTTAATATAGTCAGTTGATCCTTTTTTTTTTTTTAAGATTTATTATTTATTTATTTGAAAGAGTTACACAGAGAGAGAAAGGTCTTCCATCCGATGGTTCACTCCCCAGTTGGCCACAACAGCTAGAACTGTGCCAATCTGAAGCTGGGAGCCAGGAGCTTCTTTTGGGTCTCCCATGCGGGTGCAGGGACCCAAGGACTTGGGCCATCCTCTACTGCTTTCCCAGGCCATAGCAGAATCTAAGCTCTTTTGGATTATTTGAGATTTATAGCCAGGTCTTCAGTGTGGAATGGTAGAATAATAACAGCAATGTGTACTAGCTTCCACTTGTCACTTTGGAGGTGAGGTGTCGGGCCCTGTGATCAGTACTTTGTGAACATTATTCTGGTTTTTTGTTTGTTTGTTTGTTTTTTTATGAAGCAGAATATTTTAAAAACTGAGAGCAGAAAGGCTGAATACGTTGGCAGGACTGTGCAGTCAGCACCTAGTGGGCCTGTGATGGCCAGTGTGCAGGCTGTGTGGGTGCCGTGCCTAGGAAGGCGGCTTCCAGCAGGCAGCGAGCTCCTGCGGTCCCTCCCGCTGTAGATTTTGGTGACATGATCCCCATGGATGCTTTCTCTCATAGCTGTGGGCAGCTTTAGCAGCCTAGTGGTTTTTCATTTCTTTTAAAATAAGATTTATTTATTTAAAAGGTAGCGTTAAAGAAGGTGAGAGAGGGGAAGAGTGCTTTCAATCCACTGGTTTACTCCCAAATGGCTGCAACAGCCAGGAAATTCATCCAGGTCTGTCATGTGGGTAGAGGGGCCCAGGCACTTGGGCCATGTTCCACTGCTTTCCCAGGAGCATTAGCAGAGAGCTGGATCAAAAGTGGAGCAGCCAGGCTGGCACCGCGGCTCACTAGGCTAATCCTCCGCCTGTGGTGCTGGCACACCGGGTTCTAGTCCAGGTTGGGGCGCCAGATTCTGTCCCAGTTGTTCCTCTTCTAGTAAAGCTCTCTGCTGTGGCCCGGGAAGGCAGTGGAGGATGGCCCAAGTGCTTGGGCCCTGCACCCGCATGGGAGACCAGGAGGAAGCACCTGGCTCTTGGATTTGGATCGGTGCAGCGTGCTGGCCATAGCGGCCATTTGTGGGGTGAACCAACAGAAGGAAGACCTTTCTCTCTGTCTCTGTCTCCAACTCTGCCAGTCAAAAAAAAAAAAGGAGTAGCCAGGACTCAAACTGGTGCCCACATGGGATTCCAGCACTGCAGGTCGTGGCTTAACCCACTGCGCCACAGCACCAGCCCACAATGGTTTTTCCTAGGTCCATTTACCTGCCTGTGGCATTGAAGAATTAGCTGTGCCAAGTATCTTTAAAGAAGCCCTTTTACAGGGGCTGCTGCTGTGGCATGGCGGATAAAGCCACCACCTGCAGTACCAGCATCCCATGTGGGCACCGGTTCAAGACCTGGCTGCTCCACTTCCGATCCAGCTCTCTGCTATGGCCTGGGAAAGCAGTAGAGGATGGCCCAAGTCCTTGGGCCCCTGTACCCACGTGGGAGACCTGGAGAAGCTCCTGGCTCCTGGCTTCAGACCGGCGCAGCTCTGGCTGTTGAGGCCAACTGGGAAGTGAACCAGGGGATGGAGGATTCATATGCTCGCTCGCTCGCTGTCTCACTCTCTGCCTCTCCTTCTCTTTCTGTGTAACTTTGACTTTCAAATAAAGTAAATGAATCTTAAAAAACTCTTACAGAGTCTGTGGAAACCTCTTAATTGTAGGTCAGGCTGGGCTTGGCAGACTCCCGCTGTGAGGGGCCAGGTACTGTGACTGTGCTGGCCTTGTAGGCTGGTTAGGTTCTGAAGGGTGTGCACAGCCATCATGACCTGCAAGTGAATGGGTGTGCTGTGTCCCTGTGAACTTCATCTCCAGAAGTGTGTGGCCAGCCGTGGTCCCCTTCTGCCCCAGTGGAAGTGTGTGGCCAGCCATGAGTAGGAAAATCCCTTTAACTAGGGGAGGGGCCCATGTGTAACAGGCTGCTCACTGGGGGTGGAGAGGCCGTCTTGGTGGGGCCCATGTATAACAGGCTGCTCACTGGGGGTGGAGAGGCCGTCTTGGTGGGGCCCATGTGTAACAGGCTGCTCACTGGGGGTGGAGAGGCCGTCTTGGTGGGGCCCATGTGTAACAGGCTGCTCACTGGGGGTGGAGAGGCCGTCTTGGTGGCCTCTCTGGGCTGTACATGTGCTGTCTCTGGTGCCTGTCTGTACATAGCCCTCATTCCAGCTTCACCTTCCTTGCTAAGTTGATGCCCCCTTCTCTCCAGGATTTACGGATGAATTGGCTTTAGTCTTTAGTCAGGGGTCAGATTTTCCTTTGGTTCCGCAAGCTTGGGTCTGGATGCACAAGGGCGAGTGGAGCCTGCAGCCTGTGGGATCTGCATCCGCTCTGCACAGCAAAGATGGAAAAGGAGTATTTGGTATTTTTCAGTTAGGAAAAAGCTTACACAGTTAAGTTTTAAATTTTACAAAAATAGAGGAGAAAAGGCTGGGAAAAGTGAAAAGAACAGACCAGAGCCAGATCATACCAGTGCTAAGACAGCTGGGAAGGCAGTGGGAGGCAAGGGGCCTCGGGTTTTGTGGGCACAGTGTGCTGTGTGGTACTCCCTGTGGTCTCCTTGACCACTTTGCCCTTGTGGCACTGAGAGGCAGCTGACTGCCCTGCTGGGTGGACTGTGTGGATGTCCTGAAATGCGTCTTGACCTTGCTGTGCTTCTCCTCTGCCTGCTAGACAGTGGCATCCACACGGCCACCCATGGACTCTGCCCAGCCCTGCCAGCGGCCTCTGCCCACTTCCTCGTCTACCTCGTCCCTTGCACCTGTGAGTGGCCTAGGCTCAGGACCCCTGCCTGCGCGGTCATCACCAGTGAACAGACCTTCCTCATCAACCAACAAGGCGCTGTCTCCTGTTGCTTCCCGGTCTCCAGGGGTGGCTGTGTCAGCCGCACCCAAACCACAGAGCCCTGCTCAGAACGCTGCCTCGTCCCAAGACAGTTCTCAGGAAAAGCTCGCAGAACAAATGACACTGGTGAGTGCACTGAAGGAGAAGTGCTCAGAAGCACATTTCACTGCGATTTTTAAGGATGTGACCTGTTTTTTGAAATACAGGCAGAGGTTCAGGCTTCAAATACTTGCAATAGCGGAGACTGGGCTGGGGTGAAGCCAGGAGCCAGCAGTGCAATCCAGGTCTCCCACATGTTGTATCAGGAACCCAGTAACGTGAGCTATCACTGCTGCCCCCCAGGGTCTGCCTTGCAGAAAGCTGGAGCCAGGGGCCGGCGCCGTGGCTCACTAGGCTAATCCTCCGCCTTGCGGCGCCGGCACACTGGGTTCTAGTCCCGGTCGGGGCGCCGGATTCTGTCCCGGTTGCCCCTCTTCCAGGCCAGCTCTCTGCTGTGGCCAGGGAGTGCAGTGGAGGATGGCCCAAGTGCTTGGGCCCTGCACCCCATGGGAAACCAGGATAAGTACCTGGCTCCTGCCATCGGATCAGCGCGGTGCGCCGGCCGCAGCACGCCAGCCGCGGCGGCCATTGGAGAGTGAACCAACAGCAAAGGAAGACCTTTCTCTCTGTCTCTCTCTCTCACTGTCCACTCTGCCTGTCCAAAAAAAAAAAAAAAAAAAAAAAAAAGCTGGAGCCAGGAATCAGACTCAGGCACTCCGGTGCAGAATGTGCATGTCTTGACCCTAGGCTGAGAACACCTGTCCCAAGGGTGTGATAGCTTGAAACTGCAGACTTCATAGTGTGGGCATTGAGCATGGTGTGTGATGGTAGAAAACCAAATGTTTCACCTGCTGTGGAGGAAGCAGACTCCAGTGGCGAAGGTCTTTTTCTTGTGATGATCAGCAGTGTTGGGCTACTTTCTGGGCAGCCAGGTGTGAGGGCTGGGAAGGGAGAGAGTCAGAGTGGGCTGACGGCTCTGCGTCAGGCAGAGATGAAGCCCTGGCTGTGGCCCATCGTGGAGATTGACTACCCAGCACTTAGCTCTTGGTTTTTATTGCATAACTAAGCATTTATTTTGTTCAGCTTCGTTAGGGAAGTTAAACAAATAGGGTAGGCAGATAGCCTAGCTGTTTGGACGTACACCTGCCAAGAGTGCTTCCTGCTAATGTAGAACCTGGGGTGATGGCTCAGGTGGCTGAGTCCTTGCCACCCATGTGGGAGACCTGGGGCAAGCTCCTGGCTTTGGCCTAGCCCAATTCTGACTGTTGTGCTCATTTGGGGAGTGAACCAGTGGATGGGGAAGAGTTGTTTGCACTTGGCGCTCTCTTTTTCTGTCCCCCCTTCTCCTCCCTCTCCCCTCCAGTAAATACTTTTTTTAAATAACGAAACATCAGATAGGAGGTTGTAACCCCAGTGGTCCCCCTGACCTGGCATCACAGTGGTCAGTACCTGGTGCCACACTGCAGCACTGTGCAGCGTGTGCAGTCTGCAACACAGGACAGTCTTGTTTGCTCAGTTCTTCCCCTTTCCGATGGTTTTGGAGCAGATCCCAGGTGTCATGCTGTTTCCTTTGTCAACACGTGGGGTCCTCCCTGTGTTTTAGGGAAGAATAAGACTTGTTGCCCCATCTGCTCCAAAGGCTTCCAGGGCAGTCACAGGCTCATCTGCCTGAGCTTCTGGAGCCAGCTCAATCTTTGTGTCCAAGTCTTGAAACTGTGGCTTCCTGAGGGTTTCTTCATTAGGACTGATAGAGCCGTGCACATGGCAGGGTTTCGAATGTTTGGGGTCTGAAGTAGCAGACTGTGCTAGATAATTGTATGCACTGATGTCACCTCCCTGTCCAACTCTTGCAGGAAAACCAGATCCACCAGCGGATTGCAGACCTAAGGCGAGAAGGCCTGTGGTCTCTGCGGCGGCTGCCAAAGCTGCAGGAGGCCCCCCGGCCCAGGTCCCACTGGGACTGCCTGCTGGAGGAGATGCAGTGGATGGCCACAGACTTCGCCCAGGAGAGGCGGTGGAAGGTGGCTGCTGCTAAGAAGGTAGGGCTGAACACAGGCTGCCCTTGAGCTGTGCTGCCATGGTAACTGGGCCTTGCAGACTGACTCTGAAGGCTTCTGACTACTATAATCCCTTCCAGTGGTTTGTGTGGTGACTTTGCCATGCGAGTCGTTCTGAGGAATGGTGTTAGGTTTGGTGTTAGGAGAACCAGTGTGGACCATGGAGAGCAAGTGGTCTGGAATTCGGGTGCCTTCCTGCCAGTTTCACCTACAGTGGAATCAGGGTGTCCCTAGCACCCAGGCCCAGGCTGGTGCCCAGGGCTGGTCAGGGAGCTGAGGAGGCTGAGAGCCAGGAGGGCAGTGTTGTAGGAGGGGCTGCAGACTGCGCCCCTGACCCATGCTTAACTCTACCGAGGCTTCTGGTCCAGCTTATTCTCCAGTTCTGAGTAAGAATTTATTTCATTTTTACTGTACCCAAAGCACACATACAGGAGGCACAGCTTCTAACTCCAGAAATTTGGGGATAAGCCCTTCCCCCATGTTCTGTTCTCCCTGTGTCATGCACCCCCGTCTTCATGTCTAGGGCCTGTATTCATATTTCCTGTACTCTTATGGTGTAGTCAGTTATTTGTCCCTTGCCCTGTCTGCTTCTCTCCATGAATTCTCACCATCTTTCCCCATCAAGGTCAGGGAGGGAAAGGCTGAGACCACTGGGATATACAAGGTTTCAAGTCAGATTCAAGACTGTTCCTTCTGGCAGCTCATAGAGAAGCATGGTCCTGGGCATGTGGACAGCAGCTGGACAGGTCGTGGTTGGGTGGCAGGGCACGGTGGCACTGGTGAGGCTGGGCTGGCTCGTAGCACAGTGTCCTGGTGGGGCAGTTGGGTCATTTCCATTCCTAGAACGGGATGATGGTGACTGCAGGACCAGCCCCTCTGTGCTATCAGTTCTAATTCACGTCTCTGCCTTTTTAGTGTCCTGTTGGTAGATGTGTAGAGTATACAGTGCGGAAAGCAGTTTGGCAGTTTAAGGCAAAAGCCTTAAAACTGTGAGTTATTGTAGCCCAGCAGTTTCCACATGTAGGAATTAGGTAAATTTTGCTGCCATCTGTGCAGTGAAGTACTGTGTACCACATTGAAAGTCCGTGATCCCTGCTGCATGAGCGGACAGAAGCTAACCAGGTACTCAGTGGGGAAAGGCTGGAGTGCTGTACAAGGTTCCAGTTTTGGGAAAAATAGCATGTGTTTAGTAAAAGAGTGGGTTTTTTAAGATTTATTTATTTATTTGAAAGAGTTACACAGAAAAGGAGAGGCAGAGAGAGAGAGGGAGGGAGGGAGGGAGGGAGGGGGAGAGAGAGGTCTTCCATCCGATAGTTCACTCCCCGATTGGCTGCAACAGCCAGAGCTGCGCCATTCCGAAGCCAGGATCCAGGAGCTTCTCCAGGTCTCCCACATGGGTGCAGGAACCCAGGGACTTGGGCCATCTTCTACTGTTTTCCCAGGCCATAGCAGAGAGCTGGATCAGAAGTAGAACAGCCAGGTCTTGAACCGGTGCCCATATGGGGTGCTGGCACTGCAGGTGATGGCTTTAGCTGCCACACCACAGCACCAGCCCCGTAAAAGAACGTTTTCTAGAAAAGTTCAGCCAAGTGGTGTTGGTGGTCTTTCTGTGCCACTCTCTCATGCACTCTACGAACATAGGAGGGCATATTTGACAGTCAATTTCAGGTGACTTAAGGCTGAGAAGACAGTGCAACAGAAGGCTCTTGTGTTTTCATTCACTAGCTCGTCAGAACTGTGGCACGCCACCATGAGGAGAGGCGGGTCCGCGAGGAGAGAGGCAAGAAGGAGGAGCAGAGCAGACTGAGGCGCATCGCTGCATCGACTGCCCGAGAAATAGAGTATTTTTGGTCTAACATTGAACAGGTGAATTCTGTGAGGCTGCCTGCCTCAGATACAAGGCCATGAGGCTGATTGCACAGGCACAGTTGTTAGGGTGAGCTGAGACCCAAGTCCTGAGACCCAGGTGCTGGGTTATTGGCTTGTTGAAATGCTTGGGATGAGCTGCACTGACCTCTGTGTTTGTCTTTGCACCTGGGAAGACACCTAGTACAGTCTGCAGGCATCGAGATGTCTGAGAGCCCTGGTGAGACTTTGGGAGACTCCCTGTAGTGTTAGTGGACGTCTCAGCAGCAGAGGGCTGCCCCAGTGTGCCTGGGTGCACACAGGCACTCCTCACCCAGTCTTTCTCAGATTACCTGCCTCCTGGTAGGATTTGAACTCAGTGCAGACAGAGACAGAATAAATGAAAACACCAAACTGGGAATTTCTTCTTGAAGAAATTTGAAATGAGGTTGGACAGCTGTGCATTTGAACTGCTGTATCTATGAGTTTTAAAGTTTGTGTGCTGACTTCTGTAGTTTGCAGCCTTAATGCTATTATTTATTCTCTTTGTATTTAGGTTGTCGAAATAAAACTACAAGTAGAATTAGAAGAAAAAAGGAAAAAGGCCTTAAATTTACAGAAAGTTTCCAGAAAAGGTACGATTCTTTCAGAGGAAAGCCTTAACAAGTCCCGGACTGTCGCTCCCCGTCTTCGTGGGGGAACGACACAAGACCCTGCGCTGTTCTTTCGTCTGCTCGGCCCTCCCCGGGTTTGCTGCTGGTTCTTCCCGGGTTGGCTACTATCCCTTCCACCTCCGTGGAAGGGCAGTTCCCCCTGGCCACATTCCCCACTTTCGCAGGGGAGCGGCACACCGCCGGCCGGCTCGTCTCGGGGGCTGCACAGGTGTTCCTTCAGCTAGATGTTCCCCATAGATGTTCCCGGTGCATGCCGTCTCTCTCCTCCTTTATAGTCCTCCTCCGCCAATCCTAACTCGGCTGCCCACACGCCGAGTACGCTGCTCTCCAATCAGGAGCAAGTCCTACAGTTTATTGGTTGAACTGGAGGCAGCTGTGCGGAAGCTGTTTACTTCTCTCCCAGCGCCATATTGTGGGAGAGCAGATGCATAGAATAAGTCCTAATTCCAGTAACTCAGTCCAGTCCGGATTGCTCCCCACAGATCCCCCTTTCTTTTTATTTTTTGGCGTTGATACGCGCCTGTCTTCGGTGTCCCGCGGCACACACTCTGCTCTACTTGCTAGAGTTGCCACAGGCTCTTACAAGTCCTATCAATCAGGCAAACCGAATCCGGGTCCTCTCTTCGCCATGTTATGAGGAGGTTTTTAGGCGCTGATGCGTGCCTGTGTTCGGTGCCCCGCAGCGCATGCTCTGCTCTGCCTGCAGGGGCTTACAAGCTCTATCAGGCAAACCGAATCCAAGCCTTCTCATTGCCTTTTTGTGGGGGAGACTTATTAGTGTTGGTTTGTGCCTATCTTCGGTGACCTGCAGCTCATGCTTTGGTCGAGCTGCTTGCTGGTGCTTACCGCCTTAAATCAGGCAGACCGAATCCAAGCCTCCTAATTGTTTTATTGTGGGGAAGCCTTAATGATGTTAATTCGTGCCTGTCTTCGGTGACCTGCGGCGCATAAGCTGCTAGCCGCCCAGGTGCTCATCGCCTCACTTAATCAGGCAGACCGAATCCAAGCTTTCTCATTGCCATGTTGAGGGGAGGCCTTTCTATTTCTCTATTTCTCTATCTCCGGGCATTCCTATTTCTCCCATTTTACTTCTATCTTCCAGCATTCCTATTTCTCTCACTTTACTTCTAAACTTCTGTTTCTCTTATCCTTGCGGCTTCCCGGCGCCTCGCCCCGCGGCAGCTTCACGGCTCTGCGCGGCTTCCCGGCGCCTCGCCCCGCCGGCGCCCGCCCCGCGGCGGCTTCACGGCTCTGCGCGGCTTGGCTTCGCGCGCTCCGCGGTCTCCACGCCCTTCGCGTCTGCACCACGGCCTACGCCAGCCCCGTTCCCTATCTATTCACGCCCCGTGCTCTCTCTGCACGCGGCGGCTTCCGGGAGTAACACAGCGTAGCTTACGTGTCCGCCACTAGCATTCAATCTAAGTTCCCCGGGCTAGCCTGGCGAATTCAACCCAGCATACGTCTCCGCCCCACGGTTTGGCTTCCCGTCCTTTGCTCCCCGGGCTAATCAGACGGATCCCAACCAGGCTCACGTTTCAGCTTCTGGTTTCAACTTTTCGCCCCCTATTCCCGGGCTAACTTGAGAATCCCAAAGTGGCTTTCGTATCCGCCTCGGCCTGCCCCCCGCGGCTTCAATTTCCCTAACATTTTTCTCTACCCGGTATGTTTCCCTAAGTTTTCTTCCAACAATGTTCCTCCCTCATTTCTCCTGGCCTCTCCCCACAGTCCGCGTCCGAGTCTGTTTGTTCTAGCTTTCACTTTCACTTTCGACCTTAGAGATTTCTCCCAGCTTCCCCCCATAGTCCGTATCTGAGTCTATGCCTAGGCTTTCAATAGCTTCTTCCGGCACCCTTTTCGTCCGGCTTTTCCCTAGGCTGTTTGCTAGTCTCTCTCTCCGGTAATTTCCCATTTCTTCCCGTTTCTTCCCTCCTAAGTTTCATATCCGTCCTAAGTTTCCTATCCGAGCTAGGTTTCCTATCCGAGCTAGGTTTCCTATCCGAGTCATTTCTTCCCTCCTAAGTTTCCTATCCGTCCTAGGTTTCCTATCCGAGTCACGGCACCATTATGTCGCTCCCCGTCTTCGTGGGGGAACGACACAAGACCCTGCGCTGTTCTTTTGTCTGCTCGGCCCTCCCCGGGTTTGCTGCTGGTTCTTCCCGGGTTGGCTACTATCCCTTCCACCTCCGTGGAAGGGCAGTTCCCCCTGGCCACATTCCCCACTTCCGCAGGGGAGCGGCACACCGCCGGCCGGCTCGTCTCGGGGGCTGCACAGGTGTTCCTTCAGCTAGATGTTCCCCATAGATGTTCCCCGTGCATGCCGTCTCTCTCCTCCTTTATAGACCTCCTCCGCCAATCCTAACTCGGCTGCCCACACGCCGAGTACGCTGCTCTCCAATCAGGAGCAAGTCCTACAGTTTATTGGTTGAACTGGAGGCAGCTGTGCGGAAGCTGTTTACTTCTCTCCCAGCGCCATATTGTGGGAGAGCAGATGCATAGAATAAGTCCTAATTCCAGTAACTCAGTCCAGTCCGGATTGCTCCCCACACCGGACTGTCCTTCGTGTAGGTTACTGCTCACAGGGCCGCTTCATAGGAGCCGCTAGCCACCAGGGGACCGGCGTTTGCCGGTGGCTTGCCAGCATCTGGTCTGCTCACTGCCATGCCTCCGTGTGCCGCCACTCGAGCTTTGGTTGTGTTGCGAGGTGTCTGTGAGAGTCAGCACCCCCAGCTGGGTTACTCTGGGTGTCCTCAGCATCGAGGTTCTCAGCCTGCTCTGCAGTCAGTCCCTGGCCAGTGAGGTGTGCTCACCCAGGGGTCTGTCCCATGTGGGTCCTTCTGGGGATCTGTCCTGTGTGGTGCTGGTGCGGTGTTTGCATGGACTCCTGGAGTCCTCACTCCACAGACTCCCTACTTGCTGGACTCCTTGGTGTGTGCCCTGCACAGAGGAGGTGATGTCTGTGGTCTCCTTTGATCACAGAACACCCCTGGGAGGATGAGTGTGAGCCTTGCGTGTTCCTCGTGAGGAAGCAGCCTCAGAGGGGGCCCCTGCAGAGGGCGTAGAACTTGAAGATGGGAGAGTGGCTGCTGTGAGTTGTAGGAGGAAGAAGGCAGCAGGCCTGGGCCAGGCAGAGGTGCCCTCCTCGAGTGTGAAGAACATCTGCTCTCTGCAGCCTCGGTGAACACTAATCACGCTCTGTATTTCTTCAGGGAAGGAGTCGAGACCCAGGGGATTGGAAGTATTACCAGAACATTTCCTGGTGAGTTCAGGGTTGTGGCTGCCCTCTGGCACAACGCACATGTGGACTGGAGGGAGTGCTGCCTAGACAGATCTGTCTCTGGTGGTGGTTTCCTTTCCTTACAGAGTCAGCCCAGTGTGACAGTGAACCCATCCTCCCTGGCGTTAGTCTGCATAGGGTGTTCATTTGGCAGTTTGGCAAGATGCAGCCAGGCACAGTGACTGTAGATTTGTGTCCTTGTTCTGCTGCCTGGTGTCTTTCCCACAAGTGGAGGCTCAGTGTCCATGGGTGCCCAGGGCCTTTTGCCGTCCTTGTGGGTTATGCACCTTGGCTTCCCGTTCTGTTTTTTGAGCTTCTGTCTATTACTTTCATTCTGTGTTTCAGGATTCCAGAGTATCTGGAAGAAAGAGAAAAGCAAGCACGTCCTTGACTGATGATGAAGGTCTGTCTCCACCCCCTGGTGCTGTCTGTGCCATGTGGTTCACATGCAGTCACTCTTGGTGCTGGGGGGCGGGGGGCACTGTTGGGGGGTGTGCACCTCTGTGTCCATCCAGACGTCCCCAGTGCACAGAGTTCTTCAGGATCCCTAGCATCCTTGGCAGGTTTTTTGGAGCATCACAGAGGTAGGTGTCTTTTGTGAGTTTGGAAATGCAGCTGTATCTGGGGCTCAGAGTAGATATGTCAGATTGGGGTCATGTCCATGGTGACCCTGGATGGCTGCGTGTGGGTTCCCTACGGGGACCTCAGCAGCTACACAGAAAGGGGGACATTGCTCCGTGTGCTCTGAGATCTGTTGTGTGTTGAAAACCCAGGACTGTAATCATAGCTTGAAATGAGAGGGAAAGCACACTTTCCAGTTTCTTGCTCATTTAATAAATGATCCTTGCCGACTTTCACCTGCGAATCACAAAGCTCAGTTTTAATCTCGTCAGTAGCTGTGGAGAAACAGTTTGGAAGCCCTGTAGTGTTCAGTGAGCAACTGGAAAGCTCAGAGGGACTATCCTGCCCCCTGACTCCGATGGTGCCCATTTTAGTGGAAGATGAAGAGGAGACCATTGAAGAGGAGGAAGCACACGAAGGGGCCGTCGATCACCAGACAGAACTTTCTAATTTAGCCAAAGAAGGTAGGCCTCATGATCGTATTGAAAACTGCTTTTCTTTTAAATAGGCACAAAAAACTATGAAAAGTGTGTGTCAGGTGCCGACTGACTGCACAGGACATAGAGTGCAAGTGCCGTCACAGCTGGCAGTGCCGTAGCCTTGGTCTCGGCACCTGATGGTTCACGTGGGTCCCTCTCTGGACTCTTGTTCCCACCACCTGCTTACATCTCTGAATAACAGTGTAGCCAGGGGTGCGCGTGTGAGGACTTTGGTGAACAGGGTCAGGCTTGTTCTGCTCAGTCATCCCTCTCCCAGGGCCTCCAGACCGTAGTGTGTGAAGCCATTGCTTGCTGCTTTTGTGCCACTGAGGGACGCCAGTGTCCCGTTCCTCCCTTGCAGACAGCGCTGCTGTGAGCCTCCTTGCAGCGTGCCTGTGCATTGGCTTGGGCATAGCGCTATGGGCCGGGAGCGCATGGCACTGTCTGGGAACCATGCCGCCTTGTTTAGATTGGCCGCCCGTGCTTCACGTTCAGAGGTGCTGGGCATTGTCCACCCATCTGGTGGCTCTGTGATTGCTGATGGAGTTTCTTTCCAGCTGTGTGGCACAGTTGTGTACAGTGCCGTTCTGGAAAAGCTTGTCTTTCCTCACCAGTAAACCAAGTTCCTTATACCTGGCGCTTTCCGGGGTCAGTACTGTCTGATGGCTCATTTGTACCAGTTTCTGTGTTGGTACCACAGGTTTATAATAGTTCTTGATACCTGGTTAGGCAAGTTCTTCCACGTTGCTCTTCTTTTAGGAGAATCTTGACTGTTGTTGAGATGTTTCAAGTACACATTAGAATCAGGTTGTTGGGGCTGGCGCTGTGGCAGAGCAGGTAAAGCTGCTGTCTGCAGTGCTGGCATCCCATATGGGTGCTGGTGCAGGTCCCAGCTGCTCCTCTTCTGATCCAGCTGTCTGCTATGGCCTGGGAAAGCAGCGGGAAATGACCCAAGTGCTTGGGCCCCTGCATCTGTATGGGAGACCATGAAGAAACTCCTGGCTCCTGGCTTCAGATTGGCCCAGCTCTGGCTGTTGCGGCCATTAGGAGAGTGAAACAGCAGATGGAAGAGCTCTCTCTGCCTCTGCCTTGCTGTAACTCCACTTTTCAAATAAATAAATAAATCTTAAAAAAAAAAAAGAAATTTGGGGGGGATTATTATGGATTCTTAAAGGCCTGGCACTGAGGGAGTTTGCTCCAGAGAAAGTTTCTGTTAACTTCAATCTGTGCTCTTTTATTTATTTATTTATTTATTTTTTGGACAGGCAGAGTTAGACAGTGTGAGAAAGAGAGACAGAGAAAAAGGTCTTCCTTTCCGTTGGTTCACCCCCCAAATGGCCACTGTGGCCGCTGCGCTGCGGCTGGCATGCCGTGCCAATCCAAAGCCAGCAGCCAGGTGCTTCCTCCTGGTCTCCCACGCGGGTGCAGGGCCCAAGCACCTGGGCCATCCTCCACTGCCCTCCCAGGCCACAGCAGAGAGCTGGCCTGGAAGAGGAGCAACTGGGACAGAATCCGGCGCCCCAACCGGGACTAGAACCCGGGGTGCTGGTGCCGCAGGCAGAGGATTAGCCAAGTGAGCCACGGCGCTGGCTTATTTATTTAATTTTTTTAAAAGATTTATTTATTGGAAAGTCAGTTTACAGTAAGAGAAGGAGATTCAGAGGGAGAGATTTTCTGTCTGCTTGTTTACTCCCTAGATGTCTGCAATGGTCAGGATTGAGCCACGTGGAAGCCAGAAACCAGGAGCTTCATCTGGGTCTCCCACAAGGGTAGCAAGGTCCCAAATACTTGGGCCACTCTCTGCCATCAGCAGAGCCATCAGCAGGACTTGGATTGGAAATGGAGCAACTGAGACATGAACTAGCACCCACATGGGAAGCTTAACACACTATGCCACAATGCCAGCCCCTTACGTATTTAAAATTTTTATTTATTTTTCATTTTATTTGAAAGACAGGTAGACAGAGGTCTCCCATCTGCTGGTTCATTCCCCAGATGTGTCCCAATAGCCAAGGGCAGGGCCAGGTTGAAGCTCAGAGCTCAGAATTCAGTGCAGGTCTCCCTTGTGGATGGCAGGGGCCCAAGTATTTGAGCCATCATCTGCCGCCTCCTAGGATGGTCATTAGCAGGAAGCTGGACGAGAAACAGAGGAGCCGGGACTTAAACCATATGAGATTTGGGATGTGGGTGTTCCATGTGGCGGCTTAACCGTCGTACCAAATGCCTGTGCTCTTTTGTTTACAGTGCATCTCCTATAAAGTGATTGCTGACCGACAACTCTCTTGACATTGGAGCATTTAGTACATTTGTGTTAAATTGAAGTGCATTCTAATTGAGTTTAGATCTATTGCCATTTTTTAAAAAGATTTATTATTTGAATGTCGGAGTTAATAGAGAAGGAGGGAGAGACAGAAAGAGATCTTCCATCCATCGGTTCACTCGCAATGGCCAGTGCTGGACCAGGCCGAAGCCCAGAGCCAGGAGCTTCCAGATCGCCCATGAGGGTAGCAGGGGCCCAAGCTCTTGGGCCATCTTCCGCTGCCTTTCCTCGGTCATCAGCATGGAACTAGATGGGAAGTGGAGGAGCCAGGACACAAATAGGATGTCAGTGTTGCAGGCAGTGGTTTGACCCACTGTGCCGGCCTCAATCTATCATCATTTTAATTTGTTTTCTGGCTTCCTCATCTGTCATTTTTAAAAATTATACATATTTGGGGCCAGTGCTGTAGCGTAGTGGGTTAAGCTGCCACCTGCAGTGCCGGCATCCCATTTGGGCACTGGTTCAAGTCCTGGCTACTCCACTTCCCATCCAGCTTTCTGCTGTGGCCTGGGAAAGCAGTAGAAGATGGCCCAAGTCCTTGGGCCTCTGCACTCGCGTAGGAGACCCAGAAGAGGCTCCTGGCTCCTGGCTTCGGATCGGCGCAGTTCCGACCACTGCGACCATTTGGGGAGTGAACCAGCGAATGAAAAACCTTTCTCTCTCTCTCTCTCTCTCTCTCTCTGCCTCTCCTTCTCTGTGTAACTCTGACTTTCAAATAAAATAAATATTTTAAAAAAGAGAGAAAAAAGGAAAAAAATTATATGTATTTTACTTAATTTGGAAGGCAGAGAGAGAAAAAGTACTTCCATCTGCTAGTTTACTCCCCAAATGCCAATAATATGGAAGACTGGGCCAGGCCAGTCAAAAACCTGGAACTCCATCGGGGTTTTTCATCTGGGATGAGATGATGCAGATATTTCATCTGTTCCCTGCTGCCTCCCAGAGTGCACATTAGCAAGAAGCTGGATCAGAAATGGAGCAGGAGGGCCGGTGTTGTGGCACAGCGGTAAAGCCACTACCTGCAGTGCCAGCATCCCTTACAGGCACCAGTTTGAGTCCTGGCTGCTCTACTTCCAATCCAGCTCCCTGCTTATGTGCATGGGAAAGCAGTAGAACATGGCCCAAGCCCTTGGGCCCCTGCACCCACATGGGACACCTAGAAGAAGCTCCTGACTCCTGGCTTCAGCCTGGCCTAGCACTGGCTGTTGGGGCCATCTGAGGAGAGAACCAGCAGGTGGAAGATCTCTGTGTGTGTGTCTCTCCCCCTCCATCCCTCCCTCCCTGTAACTGTGCCACTCAAATAAATAAAAATAAATAAAAAAAGATACAGTCTATGTCAATAATGGTTAACCATCTTCACTTTTAGGAAAAATAAATGTGCTTTAAAAAATCGAGGTTGAGCATTGCTGATCTGAAAATCCAGTGTGGATCCTGGGTAGTGTGGATTTTGGATATTTAGGTTAGAGACTCTCAGCTGGTAAAATGTGGGAAGTGGAGTCTGAACACTGTGGTCTCCAGCCCTTGGAGTGATGGTACCAGCCTGCGTGCATGTGGCTTCTAGGGCCCTGGCGTTGTAGGTGAGTGACAGTTGTAGAGGACGGCCTCTCCTTGTCCCTGCAGCGGAGCTGCCACTGACCGACTTGGTGAAGCTGTACGAGGGCGCATTTCTGCCGAGTTTCCAGTGGCCACAGCCCAGTCCTGACAGTGACGAGACGAGCGAGGACGAAGGTAGGCCTTTGGTGTTCCTGAAGAATTAGGTCTAGAAACAGAGGCCAGTACTTACAGAGTAAGTATATAAAATTTTAAAGATCTCTTCATTTTTCTTTTACTTTTGTGAAAGAAGAAATTGGAAATATGTATATATATTTAATCTTATATTGAATAAAAATTAGATTCTGTGCTTTTTATTTATTAATTGGATCAGTTATCAAAGTATTTGATTATGTTGTGAAAAATAGGGAAATATGGTTTTATGGACTAGATTTTTATCATCTTTTTTCCAGCTGTGCTCTGTTTAATAATACAGTAGTTTTAAGTAGTTTGTTCTATTATTTACTAGGTTTTATAAACAGATGCAGACTATACTAAAAAGCCTGTCTTCCCTGTAGTTTGTAGATGCTGTGCAGGGGCCAAAGCATGTGAAGAGGGTCCTCTGGCAGCCAGGCCCTGGCCGCTTCTGGTCCCCTGCTGGCTGCAGGGTTGGCTGGGAGGGGCTGGCCATCTCCTCCTTTACCGCATCTGGGTGATGTTCCAGTTTTTCTGGTTTGGGAGGTGGTGAAAGGGAGACTGCAAAAGCTGAGACACCCTCAGCTCTACCTGTGATGCTCCTCGTCGTGCAGAGCACCTACTCTTGTCTCCACCCATGACTCTCCCCATCCCACAGAAAGCTTCCGAACACCAGGCTGTGTGCTGCCGGTTACACCCTGAGAGCTTTCCAGAAGGGCCTAAATTTGGTGACTTCAGAGAGTCCCTTCCATATATCCAGATAGTGTTGGGTTGCAGACTGACTGCTGCTGAGTGTTACGCTGGGGTTATGTGGGTTCTGTAGACTTCTGTCTTGCAGCACTCCCAGCCTGTGTGTCTCCCTGTTGCAGATGCCGAGGACTGCCCTGGTGAGGGGGAAAGTCGGAGGGACCTGGTCCTCATAGACTCACTTTTCATCATGGATCAGTTTAAAGCTGCAGAGAGAATGAATGTTGGGAAACCCAACACAAGAGACATTGCAGAAGTGACAGCTGTGGCCGAGGCTGTCCTGCCCAAGGGCAGTGCCCGGGTCTCAACTGCGGTGAGATGCTGGGCAAGGGGCAGGGTCTCAGGAGTGTGCGTGTCCCGGTCTCTGATGCTTAGCCAGTTCCTTGTTTCCACCACGGAGGATGTTAGAATAAGCAGTGCCTGCTCTGCCCTCCCTGTTTCCTGTTATTCTTGTGGTTCCCTAATATGGTTCATATGGTTCACCATACAACTCTTTTTTTTTTTTTCTCCTAAAGATTATTTATTTGAGGAGCTAGTATTGTGGCGTGGCATGTAAAGCTGCTGCCTGCAATGTCGGCATCCCTTATGGGCACCAGTTCGTGTCTCCACTGCTCCACTCCCTATGCAACTGCCTGCTAATAGTTTGAGAAAAGCAGTGGGGTAAAGAAAAGACCCAGGTATTTTGGGCCCCTGCCACCCATATGGGAGACCTGAAAGAAATTCCTGGCTTTGGTCTGCCTCAGCCCTGGCCATTGCAGCCATCTGGAGACTGAACAGTGGAAGGAAGATCTCTGTTTCTTTTCTTTTCTTTCTTTTTTTTTTTTTTTAAATTTTATTTTAGATTTGTTTATTTATTTGAAAGGCAGAGTTACAGAGAGGCAGAGGCAGAAGCAAAGAGAGAGGTCTTCCATCTGCTAGTTCACTTGTCAAATGGCTGCAGCGGCCAGAGCTGTGCCAATCAGAAGCCAGAAGCCAGCATCTTCTTCCGGGTCTCCCACACGAGTGCAGGGGCCCAAGCACTTGGGCCATCTTCTACTACTTTCCCAGGCCATAACCGAGAGCTGAGTGGGAAGTAGAGCAGCTGGGACACAAACCGGTACCCATATGGGATGCCAGCGCAGCTTTACCTGCTGTGCCACAACACCAGCCTCTCTCTAACTCTAACTCTTAACGCTAAACTCTTAACTCTGACTTTTAAATAAATAAATACATAGGGGCCGGCACTGTGGTGCAGTGGTTAACGCCCTGGCCTGAAGCGCCAGCATCCCATATGGGCGCTGGTTCAAGCCCTGGCTGCTCCACTTCCAATCCAGCTCTCTGCTATGGCCTGGGAAAGCAGTAGAAGGTGGCCCAAGTCCTTGGGCCCCTGTACCCGCATGGGAGACCCAGAAGAAGCTCCTGGTTCCTGGCTTTGGATCAGCGCAGCTCTGGCCTTTGTGGCCAGTTGGAGAGTGAACCATTGGATGGAGGACCTCTCTCTCTCCTCTCTGTGTAACTCTTTCCAATAAATAAATAATAAAATCTTTAAAAAAATAAATCTATAAAAATACATATATAAAATCTGATTTGAAAGGCGGAGACGGATCTTCCATCCACTGGTTTACTCATGACCCTCTCTCCCTCCCCCAGTGGCTGCAGTGGCCAAGCTGAAACCAGATCTCCACTGGAGTGGCAGGGACCCAGGTTCTTGGGCTGTCTTATGCTACCTTCCCAGGAGCATCAGCAGGAAGCTGGATAGGAAATGGAAAACCTGGGACTCCAGTTGGCACTCTGATATGGGCTGCTGGTTCACAGCATTGACCTCTATCATGGGCTTTTTTTTTTTTTAAGAATTATTTATTTTGAAAGGCAGAGTTACAAAGAGGCAGGGATGGAAGAGAGAGAAAGTCTTCCGTCTTCTGGTTCACTCTCCAACTGACCACAGCAGCCGGCGGTGGGCCAATCTGAAGCCAGGGGCTTCTTCCAGATATCCGATGTGAGTATAGAGACCCAAGGACTTGGATCATTTTCTGCTGCTTTCCCAGGCCATAGCAGAGAGCTGGATTGCACGTGGAGCAGCTTGGTTTGGAACCAGCGCCCATATGGGATGCAGGCACTGCAGGTGGTGGTCTTACCCGCTATGCCATAGTGCTGCTCGCCCTACCCCTTTTTTTGAAAGGCAGAGCCAACTGAGAGAGACAGATTATTTTCCATCCACTGGGTCATTCCTCAAATGGCTACAACAGGTCTTGGCCACACCAAAGCCAGGAGTTAGGGACTTCATCTGGATCTCCCAAGTGGGTGGAAGGGACCCAAGTACTTGGGCCATCTTCCCAGGCACTTTAACAGGAAACTGAGTTGGAAGAAGAGTAGCCAGGACTCAAACCAGCACTTTAATATGGGGTGGTGTTGTCAGCTGCACCACAGTGCTGGCCTGCATGGAACTGATTTTCTTTGCGTTATGAGAAAAGGTTTGGAAGATTGTTAGAACACGTCATTCTTTGGCCTGTTGTGTCTCCAGGTGAAGTTCAGCGCCCCGGCTCTATTGTATGGGGCTCTCAGAGACTACCAGCAGATCGGCCTGGACTGGCTGGCCAAGCTCTACCGGAAGAACCTCAATGGCATATTGGCAGATGAAGCTGGGCTTGGTAAAACAGTGCAGATCATTGCTTTTTTTGCTCACCTAGCTTGCAATGAAGGTAAGAGCTTGTTGATTCTTAGGTCTTCTTAGCTTGGCAGTAGGCTGAGGTACCTGATCCTGAGGGTGAGGACGTGGTCCTGTTGTCAACATTGTGCCTGTCCTATGGCCTCAGCAGGGTGTGGCTCAGAGTATTTGCTGTGAGCAAGCAGATAGCCTGTTCCCAGTTGTTTTAGAGTCCAGTGTGGCCCGGATTCCTAGCAGGCTGTGGCTGAGCCCCAGGTGTCAGACGTTGTCTTTCTTGCTCTGAGGGCAGCAAAGCCGGCAGTTCAGCTCCCTGCTGTTGCTCGGCAGACATGAACTGTGCTGTCCCTGTGGTCCTGGCTGCCCATCTAAGCTCATCTGATTTCCTAGTGCTGTAATCTATGTCTTCTCTTGTCTCCGAATGGGTTTTGCTTCTCTGGGCAGCATTTCTGATCTGGGTGTCCTGCACGGGCTCAACTGCTCCTGCAGTCTGAGCCCTTCCAGCCATACTTGGCTCCTTACCTCTTGCCACACAACTGGCACATAGCTTGTGTAGCCCTCTGGCTTCCCATCCACTGCCTGTGTGTTGCTGGCCTTGGTTAGGTGGCTGTGTGCGGTGCCAGCCAGTTGCAGAAGAGGTTGTGCCTGAGCCTCCTGACACAGGACAGGGTCTCACATTGTTCCTGTGGCAGCAGAAGCGCTCAGGACGGACCTTAGGGGGGATTGTTTAGATACAGACCTTTTTTTTTTTTTCCCCCAATTTTTTTATTTTTTGACAGGCAGAGTAGACAGTGACAGAGACAGAGAGAAAGGTCTTCCTTTGCTGTTGGTTCACCCTCCAATGGCTGCCGCGGCCGGCGCACCGTGCTGATCCGATGGCAGGAGCCAGGTACTTATCCTGGTCTCCCATGGGGTGTAGGGCCCAAGTACTTGGGCCATCCTCCACTGCACTCCCTGGCCACAGCAGAGAGCTGGCCTGGAAGAGGGGCAACCGGGACAGAATCCGGCACCCCGACTGGGACTAGAACCCGGTGTGCTGGCGCTGCAAGGCGGAGGATTAGCCTAGTGAGCCGCGGCGCCGGCTAGACACAGACTTAAGGCAGAGGAGAGAGGACTGACACCATCCTCTTCGCAGGAAGGGTGGCCACATCTGAGTGGTGAGGTCAGCCCCACTGGTGGGTGGCATAGATGCAAGTGGTGCAGTGGACTTGGAGCACCATGCTCCAGTTGCTGCACGGTGGAAGTGGAAGTGGGGAGGTCTTCAGCTGCCGAGGCACCTGGATGTCCCTTCTGGTCACTGCTCAGGGCACCACAGCATCCTCATGAAGTGACCTGTGCCCTAGGTTCTCAGGAGCCCAGTCACCTAGCAGAGCAGCACCTGGGCTCTGTTTTTAACTCAGAGTTTCAGTATCTAATGGAATACTTGAGCTTGCTGCATAGTTACTTCAAGATGGAGCAGCCAGCTGGTCTCACTGCTTTGTCTGTTAGATAAAAAAGGTGTTGGTCTGTTCACTGTGTTTGTACTGTTGTTGCCTGCTTTGGGCTCAGGGCTGTGTGGTGCCTGACTCAGAGCCCTGTGGTTCCCGACTAAACAGCATCCAGCCCAGCCTACGCTATGCCTTTTCCCAAGCCCAAGGCCCTCATCGTCCCACTGAAGGAAGCAGTGCGTGGCTTCTCCTGGGGAAGTCTGAGTCACCAGCATCATGACTATGGCACTTTGGGGCCAGTGTCCAGTAAAGTAAGGGTTCCTTGAATACAAGCACTGGGCAGTCTGAAAACCGAGACAGCTGCCTGTGACTGACAGGCATGCATATACTGGACACAGGGATGACCACATGAGAAAGAGACAGACAGAGATATCTTCTGTCTTCTGGTTCACTTCCCAAGTGACCATAACAGTCAGGGCAGGACCAAACTGAAGCCAGGAGCCAGGAGCTTTTTCTGATCTCCTGCGTGGGTGCAGGGGCCTAAGGACTTGGGCCATCTGCTGCTGCTTTCCCAGGTGCATTAGCAGGGAGCTGGATGGGAAGTGGAGCAGCCAGGACTCCAACAGTGCCCATATGGGATGCCAGGTGGTGGCTTTACCTGCTAGGACACAATGTCAGCCCCTATTTTTTTACCCTATATTTTCAAACTGTTGACCATGGATATCTGAAAACGAGAATTATCAAATATATTTGGGTTGGAGGGATCTGACAACCACAAAAAATTGGAAGTAGTCTGAACTTCTAAATTAAATTAGGGAGTTGTTTCATTAACTGAACAAACACGTGGGTTATTATTCATTCATTCCTTGGATCCTTCTCTGGGGACCGCCGCAGCAGGCTTTGCATGCAAAGAAGTGATCAGAGGAGAGCCTGCTCCCAGGATGCCACAGGACTAAGACAACAGGCAAACCTGGTGAGGGCCCAGAAAAGGGTGAGAGTAGTGTCTGTGTGGGAGGAGGTGCCCAGCATGTGGGGAGCCCTGGAGCCCTGGGCCCTGTCTCGTGTCAGCAGCAGCACCAAAGCTGGTATGGCAGCCAGAGAGAGCAAGAGGCCTGCCGGGTGGAAGCATCAGAGTTGTGAGGTTAGAGTTGATGCAGGCCTGTATCAGAGACTGTGACTCCAGAGTGCCAGGGTCTGTGAGAGAGGTGGGGCTGGGGACAGGCTCTCAGCTGGGCTTGCATCCGCTGGTTCTCCGCAGCCTCTTGGGTTCCTCGTCCATGGTTACCCAGAAAACCACGAGAGTTTACTAAGTTTATTATTTGAGATTAGAGAATGAATGTTGAATAAGCTCACAAAAAACAAAAATTGTTCACATATCACCATTTTTTCATTGTTTACCTTTATAATTATTATTAAAGATTTACTTATTTGACAGAATTACAGAGAGAGGAGGAGAGACAGAGAGATCTTCATCCGTGATTAACTCCCCAGGTGGCCACAAGAACTAGGCTGAAGCCAGGAGCTAGGAGATTCATCTGGGTCTCCCACAGGGGTGCAGGGACCCAAGCACTTGGGCCATCTGCTGCTGCTGCTTTTCTCTGGTCATTAAGAGGAAGTTGGACTAGAAATGGAGCAGCCAGCGCATAAACTGGCACCTGTACGGGATGTTAGCGTTGTGGGCAGTGGCTTTACATGCTACACCACAATGCCAGCCCCTTCACTTTTTTTGTTGTTGTTGTTTAAGATTTACCTATTTTAAAGAGACATGCTCTATCTGCTAGTTCACTTCTGAAATAGCTGCAATGGTTAGGGCTGGTCCAGGCCAAAGTCAATCCTGGTCTCCCATATGGGAGGTGAGGACCCAGATATTTGGGCCATCTGCTGCCTTTCCAGGTGCGTTGCCAGCATGCTGTGTTGGGAATGGCGCAGCAGAGACACTCAGCCAGTGCTCTGACACGGGATGCCAGCTTCGTAAGCCACAGCTCGACCCACCGTGTCACAACACTGGCCCCTTTTGAATTTCACAGGAAGCACGCCGTCTCCCTTGCCGCTTGTTTCCCTCCCAGGTGATTTTGCAGGACAGCCCACGTGTGTGCTGCCTAGTCCTCCCAGCCCTCGCCGACATGCCTGGACAGACAGCTCTTCCTTCCTGAGCACACCTTGTACTCTTTCTCCAATCTTGCTTTCAGTTTGTGCAGAAAGCCATCTAGCTGGGATCTGCATTTCCCTGACTTGAGGCTGTGTCTTAGACTTTATCTTCCTCTTGCTGTTTTCCTGTGAAACTTCTGTCCCTGTCCTTTGTCCATTTTCTGTCGGTGGCTCCTTCATCAGAGTCAGGCAGTACTTTGCACATTTGCAGTAGATATGTGCACTGCAGATGTTCTTTTGAAGTCTGCCATTTCTGTGTTTAACTTAGGTTTATATTTTATTTATAACTTCAGAGCTGAAGCCTGCTGGTCTGTAGTCTAATAACTTAAGAATCCTTAAGTTTCTGAAGGATGGAACAGAAACTGCCCATCTCAGGTGGTCTGGATATTGTGATGAGTGGTTGGACACGAGTGTGGATTGTGCCTTCAGGCTCATGTACCAGCTTGTGGGAGGGCGCTGCAGGCACAGAACCCTGGCCTTGGGATCTCAGGGTGGGGAGCTGTAGTCTCAGTGCTAGCTCTGTGTGCTTTCTTCAATTTCTGAGCAGGAACAGGCTCAAGGTGGGTGTTCACCCAGGACTTGAACAGATGCTGGGCTTATTCCGTGGCTGTTGATCCATCATCACTTGGGCAGCACCTGCTCAGGGTCAGGATTCCCATCTGTGGCAGCACAGATGTTGCCAGGAGGACCCTGTTCCCTCGGAGTCTGCCTCCGTTGAGTGTGGGTTATTACATGTAGAAGTGGTGCCGAGTGCCTGGTTTGGCCAATGATCTTGTTTGGGGGTTTGTGTCTTATTTTCCTTTGCAGGTAATTGGGGGCCCCCATCTTGTGGTTGTGAGGAGCCATAACGTGCTTAAATGGGAACTTGAATTGAAACGCTGGTGTCCTGGGCTCAAAACCCTCTCCTGGATTGGCAGCCACAGAGAACTCAAAGCAAAGAGACAGGTATTGTTTTTTTTTAAAAAGACATATTTCGAAATGTGAAGGTGTGTTTGTTTGTTTTATTAAAAAAAATTTGGGGGTGGGCACTTGGTGGAGCGTTTATGACACTGCTTAGGAAGCCTGCGTCCCATATTGGGTTCAAGTCCTGGCTCTGCTTCTGTTGCCAACCTCATGCTAATGTGTACCCCGGGAGACAGCAATACTGGCTTACGTAGTTGGGTCCCTACCTCCCACATGGGAGACCTGGATTGAGTTCCTGGCTCCTGACTTAGGCTTGGCCCAGACCCAGCTATTGTAGGAATTTGGAGAGTGAACCAGTCCGGTAGGTATAGTGTCTTTCCTTGTCTCTGTTGATCTCTCTGCTTTTCAAATTAAATAAATAAATAAAGTTTTAAAAAAATGGCTATTCATTTACTTTTTAAAAGTTTATTTTACTTATTTGAAAGGCAGAGTTTTACAGAAAGACAGAGAAAGATTGATCTTCATCTTCTGGTTCACTCTGCAAATGGCTGCAATGGCCAGGGCTGGGCCAGGCTGAAACCAGGAGCTGGGAGCTCCCTCCTGTTCTCCATGTGGGTGGCAGGGACCCAAGCACTTGAGCCGTCTTCTGCTTTCCTAGGCACAGTAGGGAGCTGGATAGGAAGTGGAACAGCCGGGACTTGAACTGGTGCTCGTATGGGATGCTGGAGTCCTAGGTGGCAACTTAGCCCACTGTCCCACAATGCCATACCCTCTCATAAATTGAAAAAAGGAATTAAAATTAATTTGTTTGAGAGGCTTCTTCTGTCCCCTACTTCACTCTCCAAATGTCTGCAGTTGGGCTGGGTTGAAGCTGGGAGCTGGACCTTAATCCAGGTCTCCCACCTGGTGGTAGAGACTCAAGCCATTACCTCCTGCCTCTCAGGTGTGTTAGCAGGAAGCTGGGATCAGCCAGCAAACCCAGGTACTCTGATACAGGATGCAGGCAGAGTGCAGAATGCCAGCACCCAGGTCACTGGCTGGTAAAAAATCAAACCTGCAGGTTGTGGATTTTGAGCCCTTTGAAAGCGTAGATTATGGCCATCAGCCCCGTTGTCCCCTGCAAGGACAGCTGTGCATGCACATGCACACACACACGCACACACACATGCACACACACAGACCCAGCTGCATGAGGCTCCGTTTACACACACATGCACACACACAGACCCAGCTGCACGAGGTTCTGTTTACACACACATGCACACACACAGACCCAGCTGCACGAGGCTCTGTTTACACACACATGCACACATGCAGACCCAGCTGCATGAAGCACTGTTTACACACACACACATGCACACACGCAGACCCAGCTGCACGAGGCTCCGTTTACACACACACACACATGCACACACGCAGACCCAGCTGCACGAGGCGCTGTTTACACACACACACGTGCACACACACAGACCCAGCTGCACGAGGCGCTGTTTACACACACACGCACACATGCAGACCCAGCTGCACGAGGCTCTGTTTTCCTTCCCAGAGAGCGAGGTGTTCCCCTCAGGACAGAGGTGTCACTTGGAAATTGTAGTGTTTTTCTACCAAGGCCCCACTGATTGTCACAAGTGTAAATGAGAAGTGTAGTGCACCCTGAGTCCTGAGTCATAAATCTGTGAAATTTTTATGGAGATGTATATTAAGAAAATTTGTATCGGCCTGCGCTGCGGCTCACTAGGCTAATCCTCCACCTGCGGTGCCGGCACACTGGGTTCTAGTCCCGGTCAGGGCTCCGGATTCTGTCCTGGTTGCTCCTCTTCCAGGCCAGCTCTCTGCTGTGGCCAGGGAAGGCAGTGGAGGATGGCCCATGTACTTGGGCCCTGCACCCGCATGGGAGACCAGGAGGAAGCACCTGGCTCCTGGCTTCGGATCGGCACAGCACTGGCCGTAGCAGCCATTTGGGGAGTGAACCAATGGAAGGAAGACCTTTCTCTCTTGTCTCTCTCTCACTGTCTAACTCTGCCTGTCAGAAGAAAAAAAAAAAAAAGGGAATATTTGTATCATACAGATAAGCTTCTGGGACACATTTGGACTTATTCCTTCTGTCTGTCCAACACTGTCTAGTACAAGGTCCTGTGTTAAGTATCTTGAGCACAATTTTTCATTGAACATAAAATTCTGGCTTGGACATTATTGTGTTTTGCAGAGTTTACTGAAAGAACGAGTACTTGCAGTGTGTTTTGTCACTTACTCGCAGTCTTCCTGGACGGATGCTTGTTGAAGCTGCCTAGAATGAGTGGTGTATTCACTGCTGCAGGCTGGGTAGTTCCAGGCCAAGGTGCCTGCGGCTCAGTGCCTAGTGAGAGCTCAGCTTGTGCTCCCAAGGTGGTGCCTCCTGCTGTGTGCCCCGTGAGGGGAGGGGCAGAGGACACATCTGACCCGCAACACCATCTCCAGCTCTTGCTCTGTTGTTGGATGTTACGGCATAGATGCGTTTGTCACCTGAATACAGCCCTGTTCTGATTTTATGCCGCGAAGCTTGTTCCCTTCAGGGCCCTGCTTGCGCTCACCGTTTTCCAAATGATGACTGTTGGTGCCTGCAGAATAACTTCTTAATTTGTCCACAGAAGTGCTTTAGCCTCCTAGAGGAAAGGATAGAAACAGAAACTCTGCCATTTTCTCTGCGGTGATAGCAAGAATTAAGTAAAGTTGTTCTAAGTGGGAATAGTGTAACTTCATGGTGAAAGTCATGCTGGTATGTTGTGATGATGATGCAAAGACACAGGCGTGAGAAGACTGTGGGGTCTCCTGTCTGTGCCGCAGGAGTGGGCCGAGCCCAACAGCTTCCACATCTGCATCACGTCCTACAAGCAGTTCTTCAGGGGCTATGCCTCCTTCTCCCGAGTGAGCTGGAAGTGCCTGGTCATCGACGAGATGCAGCGTGTGAAGGGCATGACCGAGAGGCACTGGGAGGCCGTCTTCACCCTGCAGAGGTCTGTCCCGCACTGGTGTTGTGTGCTGTTTGCACGTGGTCGCATGTTCTTTGTGGTTGACATGAGGGTGCTCCTGGGGGAAGTGAGGTTATTGCAGATAAATGCATGAGTGCCTTCCAGCTGCCAAGAATGACGCCTCGCTTTAGCAGAGTGCGCAGGGCAGAGAGACCCGGCAGCTCCCTGGGGCTGGTCCGTTTCTTCTTCCCTTTTCCCAGATATGGCCAGAGAAACGGTCTCACCAACCTTATGTGTTGTGGGTTTCGCTGTGGTCTTTGCTGTTTGCAGTCAGCAGCGACTGCTTCTGATCGATGCGCCACTGCACAACACCTTCCTGGAGCTCTGGACCATGGTGCACTTCCTCATCCCTGGCATCTCCAGGCCTTACATGAGCTTCCCTCTGAAAACGCCCAGCGACGAGAACCAGGACTACTACCACAAAGTGGTCATAAGGCTGCACAGGGTATGTATGGCTTTATGCTTTTTACTTAGTAAAATTCATGTGCCTCGTTTCCAGTGTCTTGTGGCAGCCTTTTTTGGAAAGAAAACAGTAGGTGGGTGTCTGGTTTTCCAGGTGACACAGCCGTTTATATTGAGGAGAACTAAAAGAGATGTGGAAAAGCAGCTGACAAAGAAATACGAGCATGTTTTGAAGTGCCGCCTCTCCAACCGGCAGAAGGCCTTGTACGAGGACGTCATCCTGCAGCCTGGGTAGGTAGAGACCAGTGCCTGCCTTGCTCGCCCCTCAGACCCTCTCTGCAGCCTCAGTGGAAGGTGCTCCTTGCTGGGGTCCTGGGCTCTGCATCTGGCAGATGTCTCCATTCCCCTGGGCTCACTGCAGCAGCTGTGTGACTGCTGTGGATCTGTGTGTGTGGTTCTCGCAGTCATGTCTGGCTCTGCTGTAAGTCAGCGTGTTCTAGGCCTCTTGTTGGAGTTGTAGGCTATACTGTGAGTACACACGATGATCATGGGATTTCTCAGGCAGTCCTTGACAGACTGCCCTAGGAGTGCAGTGGTCACCTTAGCATTTAGTTAAAAGCAAAAGAAGTGCACAGCCAAGGGGTTATGACAGACATTGCTGGAAGTTGTGGAAACCATGTGCATGGACATAGGAGACTGCCCTGTTGCTAAGCCCTCATGCATACATCTTGATGGAGTACTGGACTCTGCCATCAGGTTGGAAACACCACTTTCACTTGAGGAGGAGCAAGTTTGAGTGGAGAGAATTGCAGTTCCTTTAGCAGTCAGGTTCAGCCCCTTGGGGAAGGAAAGGTCATGTGGGTCCCCTTGCCCACTGGGTACCTTCGTCGCCTCCCAGTGCATGCACAGACTAAGCTCAGGGTCTGGGTGTGGCTCTCCTGTGAGTGAGCCCAGGGCACACACAGATGCTCATACTTAAGTCATACCGTATGGCGCTGGGGCCTGCAGGCCAAGAGCAGATCTCATATGGCCTTAGGCTGGTTCTGTGGCATTTGCTTCCTGACCACGGCCCAGCAAGAACCTGTCTTCTCTCTGTGTGTTTTCCTCCTCCTGAACCTGCAAAGTGAAGTGTCCATGTACTCGCTCTGCACATGCTGCAGCCCCATCTGTCAGCACGTTGACTGCAGGAAGGGGTGCAGCCAGTCTCAGGTCCTGGATGGATCTCCAGTCCTGTGCGGTGACCGTGCCACACTTGCTGAACTTGGAGCCCCTGCCCGCACTCTGACAGAGAGCTCACACGGAGCTCATTTCCTCCCTCTTGAGAGCCGCAGGGTGCTGTCCTCCCTGTCTGTCAGGAGCTGACTTTCTATTATGGTCCCCACACAGGGCTCCGCATCCCCTGCCTTCTCTGGAACCTCCTTCTTTCCTGAGTCTCTAAACTGTGTCCTTTGTGCCAGCCTCACACATTCAAAGCCCTCCCCTTTGCCCCCCCCCCCCCCCCCCCCCCGCCTCTGTCTGCTCTGCAGGGCCATGCAGGTGCTGTCTCTGCTGTCACGTCCTCAGTCCCCGTTCCCTTCCTAGCCTGTGCAATGTGGCTCTGTTCTCGTGACTGCATGCTGGCTGCACTGAGGGTGACTTCCAAGTGCTGGGTTCTGAGATCCCATACTGGCTCCCTTCTGCTGGCTCTTCACAGTTGCTTCTGTACCTGCCAGGCCCCTTAAGTACCTCGATTCTGCATATCCCAACTCGGCCCATGCTGTGTCTTCCCAGCCTGGCTCTCTTCCAGGTCTCCCTGCCTTGGGCTGGTCACTGATTACATGTCCAGCCACATGTTTGGGTTGGAAACCTAGCAAGGCTCTGCCCATCCTTCCCTTTTTCCACATCTGTTAGACCAGTCCCCTCATTCCTATCTGGGACACTAGGTGCACTGTGCTCACCCTGGTGGCCTAGTGGCTCACCCAAGTCCCCTCTATTGCCCATAGAGACCTGTCCCAGTGTGAGTAGTGGGTCTGTCCATCTGTATGCCTTTGCAGACGCTGTCCTGCAACAGGCACAGCCTGGCCTGCTAACCTGTTGCTTGGACTGTGCACTCCCCTGTGAGCACAGGCAGGAAGACTCTCCCTGGGTGCTCATTCTGCCCCTTCCTCAGCAGATTCTACCTGTCCTTCAAAGGGCAGGCATTTGACACAGAGGTGAAGTGCCGTGTGGGCACCACATCTCACAGCACAGTGCCTGGTAGGTGTGCTGGCTCTGCTTCTGTCTCCAGCTACCTGCTAACGCATGCTCCAGGAGGGAGCAGGTGGTGGCTCAAATAGTGGGGTCCTTGCCACCCATACGGGAAACTGAAATCGGATTCCTGGCTCCTGGATTCGACATCTACCCAGTCCCGGCTGTTGCAGGCACTTGGGAAATGAACCAGGGAATTCAAGCTCTGTCTTTCAAATAAACAAACAGATAATTTAAACAAAGAAGCAAACAAACAAAAAACATAAAAGTACACTAGTTGCTCCCACTTCTCCTTCAGCACACTCATCACACTTGCGCCTGAGCGCTCATCTGTGGAAGGGGACATGCGCTAGCCCCTTGTTCCCGTCCTTGCTCACGCACCGGGGCAGTGAACAAGCCGGCAGAGGTGTCGCATCATCACGTGCACGTGCCGCTGGTGGGGATGTGAGCGGGAATTCTTGAATGATCCATGTAACTAATTTTTAACCAAAGCCGAGGAGAACGGACCGCTCTGTGCTTGTGGAATCAGGCTGCAGCCCGTGAGGAGCCTGGGTGGTCGGTCGGTCTCTCTGCCTGCCACTCCGATGGAGACGCTTTGTGATCTTCCCCGTGCAGAACTCAAGAGGCCCTGAAGAGCGGGCACTTTGTCAGCGTCCTGAGCGTCCTGATGCGGCTGCAGCGCATCTGCAACCACCCGGGACTGGTGGAGCCCCGGCTGCCTCACGCCTCCTACGTGGCAGGGCCTCTGCGGTATTGCTTGGCCTCTCTGATTCTGAAGGCGCTGGACAGAGATTTTTGGAAGGTAAGTAGAGACTGCAGAAGGCTGAATCATTGCTTGAGGGCTTTTCCAGGCAGATTATAGAGAAAGCAGTTCTTGGAGGTGGTTTCCAGCCAGCTCCCGTTCTGCTTCTGGAGATCTCCTGACAGTTGGCATGTGGAGCGACATTTCAGGTACACTTGCCCCACGTGCTGGATTCAGAGGCAGCTTCTGGGCGCTGCTGAGGGTCAGAGCCACGCTGCACTGGCACAGAGGAGACACCAAAACGCAAAAGAAATTATAAACTCAGCCACTTCCTGTGCAGTAATAGCAAATATTAAGAAAAATGAGTAAAATTATTATAAGTGAGAACTCTTTATCTCTGTCACTCTCCACTTGAAATAAATAAATAAGTAAACGTCTTAAAAACATTTAAAAAGTCCCACCTCCATACTTCCAGTCCAGTTTCCTACTATTGCCTGGAAGGCAGCAGGTGATGGCCTCAGTACTTGGGTCCTTGCCACCCACATGGAGACCTGCTAGAGTTCCTGGCTTTGGCCTGGCCCAGCTCCTGCTGTTGGGAGCAAACCAGTGGTGGAAGCTCTGTCTGTCTTCCCTCTCAATAGCTTATGGGGGGGGGGGGGGGGCAACCCAAATGAATGGATACAGCATGGGCTCTCCTTACAGTAGAACATCATGCAGCCTTTAAAAGGTATGAAATTGGGGCTGACATTGTGATGCAGCAGTTAAGCCACGGCCTGCAGCGCCGGTAGCCCATATGGGCACCAGTTTGAGTTTCGGCTGCTCCACTTCTTATCTAGGCCCCTGCTAATGTGCCTGGGAAAGCAGCTGGAGATGACCCAAGTGCTTGGTCCCCAGCACTCACATGGAAGACCTGGAAGAAGCTCCTGGCTCTTGGCTTTGGCTTGGCCCAGCCCTGGCCATTGTGGTCATTTGGGGAGTGAACTAGCAGATAGAAGACCTCTCTGAGGACAGTGCTGTGGCATAGTGGGCTAAGCCTCCGCCTGCAGCACCAGCATCCCATATGGGTGCCAGTTTGTGTCCCAGCTGCTCCTTTTCCATTCCAGCTGTCTGCTGATGGCGTGGGAAAGCAGTGGAAGATGGCCCAAGCACTTGCATGTGAGACCTGGAGGGAAGCTCCTGGCTCCTGGCTTCAGATCGGCTAATCTCTGGCTGTTGCAGCCATTTGGGGAGCAAACCAGCAGATGGAAAACCTTTCTCTCTTCTCTCTCTCTCTCTTTCTGTCTGTAACTCTACCTCTCAAATAAATAAATAAACAAAAATCTTTAAAAAATGTCTTGGGGCTGATGCTGTGGCACAGAGGGCTAAATCCCTAGCCTGCAGCACTGGCATCCCCTATGGGCACTGGTTCAAATCCTGGCTGGTCTGCTTCCAATCCAGCTCCCTACTAATGTACCTGGGAAGGCAGCGAAAGATGACCCAAGTCCTTGGGCCCCCGTATCCACATGGGAGACCCTGAGGAAACTCCTGGCTCCTGACTTTGGATCAGTTGAACTCAAGCCATTGTGATCATTTGGGGGTGAATCAGCGATGGAAGACATTTCTCTCTTTGTCTCTACTTCTCGTCTGTACTCTTTCAATAAATAAATAAATCTTTAAAAAATAGATAGCTCCCTCTAACTCTAACTCCTGCCGAATTTTCTTTTTTTTTCTTTTTTCTTTTCTTTTTTTTTTTTTTTTTTTTTCTTTTTGGATTTATTTATCAGGAAGAGTTAAAAATCTTCCATCTCCTGGCTCACTCTCCAGATGGCCACAACTGCTAGGGCTGAGCCAGGCCAAAGCCAGGAGTTTCATCCAGGTCTCCCACATGATTGCAGCAGCCCGTGTCTTTGAGCCATCTTCCACTGCTTTTCCCCAGGGCCATTAGCAGGGAGCTGATTGGAAATAGAGCAGCCAGGACTCGAACCTCACACCCATATGAGAGGCTGGCACTGCAGGGGTTTCAGCTTACCTGCTGTACCACAACACTGTCCCCTCTTTTTTTTTTTTTTTTCTTTTCTTTCCTCTCTCTTTCTAGTTCTCTCGCTCTCGCTCATCTCTCTCTCTTTCTTTTTTTCTTTCTTTCTTCTTCCTTCCTTCCTTCCTTCCTTCCTTCCTCCTCTTCCTTCCTTCCTTCCTTCCTTCCTTCCTCCCTCCCCTCCCCTCCCCTCCCTCCCCTGCCCTCCCCTCCCTCCCTCCCCTTCCCTTCCCTTCCCTTCCCTTCCCTTCCCTTCCCTTCCCAAGATTATTGATTGATTGATTGATTTGAAATAAAGTTACAGAGAGGCAGAGAGAGAAGTCTTCCATTTGCTGGTTCACCCCCAGACGGCCATAGCAGCTGGCTGGATTGATCCTAAGCCAGAGCTTGAAGCTTCTTCCAGGTCTCCCAGGAGTTCGATCATCTGCTGCTTTCCCAGGCACACTAGCAGGAGCTGGATCGGAAGACGACAGCCAAGACTTGAATTGGCAGCCATATGGGATGCCAGCGCTGCAGCAGATTTACCCACTATGCCACAGCGCCGGCCCCTCTTTAAAAAAAAAAAATTTTTTTTTTTTTATTTGAAAGGCAGAGTGGCAGAAAGAGAGGGAGAGACAGACACCCAAATGGCTGCAATGGTGTAAGCTGGTCCAAGCCCAGCCAGAGTCTGAGTCATGTCTCCCACATGGGTGGCAGGGGTCAAGTACTTGTGGACTATTTTTCATAATTTTCCAGGTATATTAGGGAGCTGGATTGGAAGCAGAGCAGCAAAGTCTCAAAGTGGTGGTCTGCTACGGGATGCTGACATTGTGGTGGCAGCTTAGCTTGATGCACTACAATGCCGGTCCTCTGGAGCTGGGACTGCATCCGGACTCTCCGTTGTGGGCTATAAGTATCCCAGCAGCGGCTTAACCTTCTGCACTTCGGATCATTGTGTTGGCTGCTGCCGTGAGCCTGCTTTGGGTGAGCTGCAGAATGGGACTGCTATACCGTAGTCACTGTGTCTCCCCTTTGAGTGGCTGCCTGTTTCTTGTGAGCAGTTGTCTCACATCCCCGCCACAGCACATGAGAGTCACATACCCTCTTGTCCCCTCGCCAGCACTGGGGTTTGACTCTTGTCCTCTGAGGTTTTGCTTGCATTATTTAAAGTCCCTGGAGAAACACTGGTTGGTGCCACTGAGGCCATTGTCCTTGTTCCTTGAACACAGAGGTTCCAGTTCTAGTTGGGTTTGTACCACTGGACCTCACCTTGGCTGTGCCAGAGCCAGTGTGCTGCAGTCAGAGTGCTACGTGCTCAGTGCACAGATGTCTCTGCCTCTGCTTCTCTCGGAGAGGACCATCGTCTCCACACTTGTCTCAGCAGAGTGTCCCTACACTCTGCTCCTCCCCTCCCCCTGCCAACAGAGCCCAGGCTTTGTGGTTGCTGCCCACACATGGGAAGACCTGGTGACCACTCTCACTCCCATTCTACACTGGGAAGGTAGCCATGGCTGCCCACACCCTGAGTGGGTTGAGGTCCTGTGGGGAGCTCGCTCAGGGAGGGGTGCTCGGGACTGGGTTTCTGCTCTCCTATATGCTGGCCCAGTGCTTTTCCTAACTACCTCCCGAAGCAAGAGCTTTTTATTTATTTTTTTTTTTCCTTTCTCAGGAAATGATCTTTCTATATTTGCCTCATTGGTTAGAGAATAAAATCACTCGCCATGAGGCAGAATCACTGTCTAGGAAGAAGGTGACTCGGAAACTCATGGAGGAGATCTTCACCTCACCACCCCCCTCCGCACGGCCGGCATCTGTGAAGCTGAAGGCGAGCAGGTGTGTGAGGCGGGCAGGAGCAGGTGTGAGACGGGCAGGAGCAGGTGTGTGAGTGTGGGCAGGAGCATGTTGTGAGTGTGGGCAGGAGCAGGTGTGTGAGACGGGCAGGAGCAGGTGTGTGATTGTGGGCAGGAGCAGGTTGTGAGTGTGGGCAGGAGCAGGAGTGTAGTGTGGGCAGGAGCAGGAGTGAGGCGGGCAGGAGCAGGATGTGAGTGTGGGCAGGAGCAGTGTGAGTGTGGGCAGGAGCAGGAGTGAGTGTGGGCAGGAGCAGGTGTGGAGTGTGGGCAGGAGCAGGTGGTGAGTGTGGGCAGGAGTGTGAGTATGGGCCGGAGCAGGAGTGTGGTGGGGAGGCGGGCAGGAGCAGGAGTGTGAGTGTGGGCAGGAGCAGGTGTGAAGTGTGGGGCAGGAGCAGGAGTGGTGAGTGTGGCAGGAGCAGGTTTGTTGAGTGTGGGCAAGGAGCAGGTGTGTGAGACGGGCAGAGGGAGCAGGAGTTGTGAGTGTGGGCAGGAGCAGGTGTGTGAGTGTGGGCAGGAGCAGGAAGGTGTGTGTGTGGGCAGGAGCAGGAGTGTTGAGACGGGCATGAGCGGGAGGCGTGTGAGTGTGGGCAAGGAGCAGGTGTGTGAGACGGGCAGGAGCAGGAGTGTGAGTGTGGGCAGGAGCAGGAGAATGTGAGTGTTGGCAGGAGCAGTGTGGTTAGGCTGGTGGGCAGGAGGCAGGAAGTGTGAGGCGGGCCAGGAGCATGTTGTGTGAGGCGGGCAGGAGCAGGTGTGTGAGGCGGGCAGGAGCAGGTGTGTTGAGGGCGGGCAGGAGCAGGAGTGTGAGTGTGGGGCATGAGCAGGAGTGGGTGAGTTGTGGGCCAGGAGCAGGTGTGTGAGTGTGGGCAGGAGCAGGTGTGTGAGACGGGCAGGAGCAGGAGTGTGAGTGTGGGCAGGAGCAGGTGTGTGAGTGTGGGCAGGAGCAGGAGTGTGTGTGTGGGCAGGAGCAGGAGTGTGAGACGGGCAGGAGCAGGAGTGTGAGGCAGGCAGGAGCAGGTGTGTGAGGCGGGCAGGAGCAGGTGTGTGAGGCGGGCAGGAGCAGGAGTGTGAGTGTGGGCAGGAGCAGGTGTGTGAGTGTGGGCAGGAGCAGGAGTGTGAGGCGGGCAGGAGCAGGTGTGAGTGTGGGCAGGAGTGTGAGTGTGGGCAAGAGCAGGAGTGTGAGACGGGCAGGAGCAGGAGTGTGAGACGGGCAGGAGCAGGAGTGAGACGGGCAGGAGCAGGTGTGTGAAGCGGGCAGGAGCTGCACGTGCAGTGTTACAGGTCCCCACCCCGGTGGCCCCGGGCTGTCAGTTAAGGAAAGACAGCTCAGTGTTCTGCCTCCTGGGAGTGTCCCGACTCACCTGTTCCAGTGAACCCATCTGGGGACAGACGCTCCCCTGGTCGTGCTCTGCAACTGCTTACCCACCCTGAGGCACAGCCCTCCTTGGCTGTCTCTGAGCTAGCTTGGGTTTTCTGGGGCCTGGTGTGGGGGCAGCTGGTAACGGCTAGCCAGTGTGCCGTCAGTGGGGAGGGGCCAGCTGAGGGCTCGCTGCCTGACTGTGGTGAAGTTTGGTGCCCTTGCCATCTGCCATGATGATTTTGTAAGTACCGTGAGGCTGGGAGTGTTAGACGTATTAGAGGGATGTGCTCGGAATGGAAGGGATTCAGTGCAGGCAAAATTTGGTCATTGGAAGTATGCAAAGTCCTCAGCTGGGGTCAAAAGGAAGAGAGGGAAACAGGTATTTTAGAGATAAAGAGCCGTTTCTACAGTTTGGTGGTGGCACGTTCTCATCACCGCTGGGAGAGCCTGCCCTCACTGCGGACATGCGGGAAGACGGCAGACCAGCCCACCCTCCCAGTCTGGCTTTTACTTACAGGCTTTTGAGAACCATCCGTGCCTGTTACTTTGTACAGGGGGTTTGCAAACTGCTATGACGATTTTCAGGTAAAAGACAAGGATGCCGCATCCTGATAACATCCAGGAATGGCAGCCTGGCTTGGATCTGACTTTGATTTCTGTTGTTACCACCTTTATGATGCGCCACGTGTAACCTCTCCTGAGCCACCATGGCATCATCCTGTTGCCACACAGTCCATGTCACTCTACTGCAAACGTGATGTCAGAGACTGTGTGTGCTGGTTGTATTTTTTTCCACACTGATGTGAACTTAAAAATTAAGATAACATTGATTCCTGTCTCACCAAGAACCAGAGGTGTGTGCTAAGTCTTGCAGCAGCTCTCCCAGGCTCCAGGTGAGCTCCTTCAGGCAGTGTTAGGAATCTCTGCCCTGCCTTCTCTGGGCTGGGAATCCTCACATCCTCCAGGGCAGGCCTGTTTCCCCTGGACTCTATCTGTGCCACCCCTGCTATCTACAGTGCAGTGACACTCTGTGTGTCTCCCCACCTGGACTGATGGTCGTCCAGGTTGTTTCAGCCCGTGCAGTACGGCCAGAAACCCGAGGGCCGCACCGTGGCATTCCCCAGCACACACCCACCCCGGACAGCAGCCAGCACCGCAGCCACTGCTGCTCCTCAGGGCCAGCTGCGAGGACGGCCACCAGTTGCCACTTTCTCTGCGAATCCGGATGTGAAAGGTATACTTGACGCGGTCATCTCTGCTTGGCACTTGTGGCCATTGTCACCATTCCCGAGTGGGGATGGGATTCATCCATGGGTTCTCTGAAGAGGTCCTGTGTAGTTGTGAATTTAAACGTTTTTACTTCATGTGATGGATTTTCCCCCCATACCAGACGCTTCACCCTGAGTCACTGTTGATCTCGTGGTGGTGATGTGTGCCTGGGTGGAGCATCTCCTTCTTCACACAGGCCAGTGTTCCCCTCCCCTGAGCATTGCTGTGGCGAAGGATGGAGTCAGGGACAGAAGATGACAAAGAGCTCCCCCTGACCCTGGGCAGAGGGCTTCTCTGGTTTCATGGCATCACGGTTTCTGAGATGCAAAGCAGATGTTCAGAACTGCCTTTTGCCAGAGTTGTTTGTAAAAATAAGAATGGAAACTGCTTTCTGTGTGTCCTGGGAAGTGGTTCCTAATCGAAGACTGATTGAGTTTGTTGGGCTCGCTCTGCTTCCCTGTTCGTCCAGAGAAATGCCCTGTGTAGCGGCTGATGAGGAGCTCCAAGCGAACACGCCGCACAACAGACGGAGAATCGCATCCTCACGCTTGTGCACTGCAATCAGCCCCTTCATTTTTTTTTAAGAGAGGGCTTCTCATTTAAAAGATAGTGTGAAATGTTTATTTTATTCTTTAAAATTCGGGTGTAAAATATTGCCTTTTATTTAAGAACCTCTAACAGCTTTGCACAAACAAACCTTATCAATTGCAGCAGCAGCAGCCCCCGTTTCAGAGCTCTCAGGCCTCCTCCAGTGCTGCTCGACACCAGCCCGCCTCGACCTTCAGCACGGCCGCTAGCCCAGCCCATCCTGCGAAACTGCGGGCTCAGACCACTGCACAGGCCTCCGCCCCAGGCCCCCCCCCCCCAGCCCCAGGCCCCCCGCACGCGGCGGGCAGAGCCCGCTGCCTCAGAGGCTGGTGCTCACCTCGCAGGCCAGGCCCGCCTGCCCAGTAAGTGGCCTTGCCTTCCCGGGTTCTGCCGTCTCTGTACCACAAAGAGGTTGCATTAAGAACGGGGTGTCTGAAGAGCCTTTGCTGTCCACTTCTCTCTTGTCCCAGATCCTGTGCTGCTGACCCTGAGGTCTGTACCAGGGAGGGGCCTCTTCCCAGCTCAGCACCAGGGCCTTCTCTCTGCACTTCCCTCTTCCCACTGCCAACTCTGCTTTCCTTCTGAACTCCCAGCCCGCTGTGCTGTGTGCAGCCTGCCCGTAGTGTCAGCCACCAGCGTGCTCTGGGGCACCCGTAGGAAGGTGACAGCAGGTGCTCTGGAGCGGCAGCTCCTTACCAGCAGTGTGGATTGGCTTTAGGCCTCTTAGTACTGAGTTTAAATTGGGGATTTGGAATGAGTAATGGCTCAGCTGAGACAGTTTGTAATGATTTAATGGCTAAAACATCCCAGTGTTACCTTTTTTTTTTTTTTTTTTTAAACATATATACAGAAGTTTTCACTGTGGCCAGTGAGGTCAACATGTTTTCAAATCTTGTGTGTTCTTTAATTTGTTCTGTGGAAATCATCCTAGCCTAAACTGTTACAGGTTGTCATTTCTCTGATGCCATCTCAAGTACTTCATTTCTTGATTGGACAAAAATTGTGTCAAGGCTTTTCAGGAAGCACAAAAATAGAGTGGTATGGGGTGAGGAGACACTTGAGCTCAGACCGGTTCTCCCCACGGAGTCTCTCCTGCCACTGTCAGTGAAGAGTAGCTGCCCTTGTCATCCGCCCGAGGAGAGCACGCTTGGCTGGATGCCATCCCCGGGATGTACTGCTGTGCAGAGGAGCTGTGCTCCGGGGCCTGGGAAGCAGGCAGAGGCACTTCTCTGCTCTCGTCTTGAGCAAATGCGGACCGGACGGGGGTGACGGAGACTTCATTTCTGTGCATAAACTTCTGTCTCCTATTCATTCCCTTCTTGTTCATGGGTCCCTGTTGGGCAGGGTATCTTCAGGTGTTTTCCAGTCTTTTACTAACTGTTCTCTTCATAGCATCACTATAATTCTGGCATGGATTTTCTGGGAGTAGCATTTAGACTTGATATCAACCATTGGGTAAAAAACCCTTAAACTTGTTTAGTGACAGCCTGCAGGTAGTTCTTGTTTGAGATGGGCTTGTTTATGTCTGAGTTATGTTTCAAAATTTTAAGCACTTAGATTTTTCGCAGTAAAAGATCAAGTCCTATGGTCTATTCAAGTTGGTATGAAACTTTTATATCTTAAAGTTTAATTTATGTACTTAAATATTCCTAGATTTTGTATAAGTTATAGGTGTTATTAAGTTCAGTTACTCATTCTTTCCTATATGCAGTGATGTAATCTTTTCTTGTGATTTATTTATTTGAAAGGCAGAGTTACAGAGAGGGAGAGAGAGAGATCTTCCACTGCTGGTTCACTCTGCAAATGGCTGTATGGCCAGGCTGGTCCAGGCCAAAGCCAGGAGCTTCATCCAGGTCTCCCATGTGGGTGCAGGGGCCCAAGCACTTGGGCCATCCTCTGCTTTCCCAGGCCATTAGCAGGGAGCTGGATCGGAAGTGGAGCAGCCAGACTGGAACAGGCACTCACTTGGGATGTCGGCGTTGCAGGCGCAGCTTGTTTCCTCTGTGAGCTAACTGCACACATACTTCTCTCAAATTTTGAAAGTTTCTGAAGTTGAGGTTGATACATGAGTTTCTGATTTGTAAGATATATTTCTGGTGATTTTGATGTTTGCTGCTTTATTATTTGGGGAGAAAAGTAAAATCTCCTAATATTTGGTAAATAATATTAACATTTGATATCTGAATCTCTATTAGCTGTAGTTAAATTAACGATTAAAAATCTGGTATTTTGATGTGTTTTTTCTTTTCTATTAAATAATTTGTTTTCTTAAAGTCATAGAAAGCCTAAGAATGTTTGTGTGACTCCGCGTACCGTACATTAAATGTAACGTGCCTGTCATTAGTGATGCCCAGTTTCACCTTTTCCTCTGCATTTTCAACAGGTGGCGAGGTAGTAAAAATAGCACAGCTGGCGTCCATCGCGGGACCGCAGAGTCGGGTCACTCAGCCCGAGACGCCTGTGACCCTGCAGTTCCGGGCACAAGTTCACCTTGTCACACAGCCAGCTCCGGCAGCTCACGCAGCCAGCCTCTGCAGCTCCAAGTGAGGGCGGCGGCTGAGGCTGAGGATGACAGAAGAGCCACTGCACCCAGGGCCCGGGCCCTGCTGGGTTCATTCACTGACTGGGCTGGTTGTTTGGTTGCTTTGCTTTCCAGTTCTTGATCCTAGGTGGTGGTGCTGAGCCTCGCCAGCACAGCTCTAGAGAACTAGGGAAGGCTTGTGAACTGAGCGCACAGAGCCGTGTTGCCTGTTTTGTAATCAAAATAGAAGTGTTTGCCACTTGCAGTGTATGTGTGAGACAGATATGAGTGATACGTGTCTGAGAACTTAGTTTCTTTTGATATAGACTTTCAAATGTTAACTTCCAGATGAAACACGCCACAACCCTCTCTGGACAAGCAGTGTTTACCTAATAATTAATTGCCTTTAAAAAAAAAAACGAGGGTCTGAGCCTTGAAATTAAATTACTCTGTAATGACTGCATGGCAGTGATTTAGTCCTTTCAGTTCCTCGCATAATTAGGTTAGGGTTCAGAGGTAGCGTCCACAGCAGCCTTGCACCGCCCTTCCCGGCAGTTTCCCCCGAGGTGCCGCACGGCATGTGGCGCCAGCTGGGTGGAGAGGCCCATAGAGCCCCGCGGCAAAGAAGACTTTCACTGTGGTTGGATTCCATAGTTTGTCATTTTTTTGGACCAGTGAGGGGAGGCCACCCATGAATGTCTGTGATGTCCCAGTGATCTCTAAACATCCCTGCGGGCGGGAAGGCGGCCAGAGATCAGTCACACAGAAAAGTTGAAGTGGCAGTAAAGGCACAGGCATCTGGGCTGAAACAGTCTTTTTGTATTTCTTTGTCCCGTTTGACAGCAGTCAGAGTGTTGCCGCCCGTGGCCTGGGAATTGGCTGTCTACTGGGCAGGGCACGGGCCTAGGACCACCCCTAGTGGATGTGTGTGGCAGTGCCTTGCCTGGACACTGCCACACGGATGATCTCTTCTTGACGTAAAGTAAAGCACACTTCACTCCTTAGATGTTTCATTCATCGTAGGTGAATATCTTCATTTTTCTCACATAACTGAACTTTGCATTGATTTGTTTGTGTACGTTTGATTTTGGGTTTTCAGCATATCAACTTGTTTATTTCTGTGCCCTTTGGGATAGTAGTGTGGGCTTGAAGGCACAGGCTGTGACTGATGTGGCCTGGTGCACATGTGATTTCAGGCAGCGTTCTCCAGATCGGGTCAGCCCCCGGGCAGCCCTACCTGCGAGCCCCTGGCCCTGTGGTGATGCAGACCGTGTCTCAGGCGGGTGCTGTGCATGGCACCCTGGGAAGCAAGCCCCCGGCCGGCGGCCCCAACCCTGCGCCCTTGACCCCACAAGGTAGGGCACGTTGAGCAGAAGGAAGCAGCTCTTCCTGACTGTGTTTTCCTTCTCAGGCAACTGGAAGGGGTGTGTGTGTGTGTGTCTTAGCCGTGATGCCTGAGCACATCCAGCCCAGGGCGGCCCATCTCTGGTCTCCACAAGGTGGATGTGTCAACTTGATTTTTCTCTTTCTCTTTTGCTTTCAAAGGCACTGGTTGAATATAAACAGCCTCCACTGTTAGAGTTTGCTTGGGTTCGT